TCAGTTCTCTGCAACAAGGTGTTGATGACCGGATGTTGTGGTGGAACGATGTGTTGACAGTCATGGTGAAGACTCAGGTGCGGAGGCTGGTGTTCTTCCACACCTGTTGACCACATTTACCTGCACAGTACGTACCTGTACATCTGTGTGAGGTTCGCTCAGGTGTCAGGTACAATCTCTAGTCGAGTACCCTGGTAGAAGTTGTACAGCGGCGCCACACTATCCTGGTGATCTTTGGTCCTGGACCATGGTCAACGTGTTGGTGAATCACAAGTGTCACTCTTGGTGCAGGTGTTGAAGACACAAGGCCTCAGAGTCCATGTCAGTCAGGTACAGTACCTCGTGGACATTTACTGCCCCAGAAGCTGCCTCCCCTATCTGTCCCAGGGCACTGTGAGGCACCTTCCCCAGCGCGTCTCCCACCTCAGTTTGGGGTCCGAGATCGGCGCTGGTGGCTCCGAGATCACCGCCGTCTGCCACGGCGGGAGCTGCGGGGCGGTTTGGTGAGTTCATATCGATCTGGAGGGGATGCTCATGTGCGAAGGTGGTGAGCGGGACACACGGCGGAGGCAGCCAGACTGGTAGCGGCCTCACACACCACAGAGAGAGAAGGAGGAGGAGGGAACTGTGCCAAGTGACGTCACAAGCACAACATGGTTTCCTCGTGATGACGTCAACGTTTAGTGTTGATGCTCGCGCACTGTCGTTCGATTTCTGCGGCTTCCCCAGCGCCTCCTTGCAGCTCACGACCCACAATGCATCTACACATTAGCAGTATTATTTCCCCCTGGGTAATTTATATTGAAGGACTTGACGAGGAAACATGTCTATTGCCACTATGAGGACAAGCTTCAGCTTCAAGTGACAAAATGCTACTACTGCCTTCAGCTTTAATTCCTCGGGACATGATACAGTGTTTGTTTTTATAGAATCCTCGTAACAACAAAATTAGTGGCACGGTCTTGACAGGTGGTGATAAAACTCATTCTTGACATTTAATAACTCACTCTTGGTGACAATAATAAATTCTTGGCTATAATTACCGGAAACTCTTGGCGTCTCTAATTACCGATAACTCTTGGCGTCTCTAATTACCGGTAACTCTCGGCGTCTCTAATTACCGATAACTCTTGGCGTCTCTAATTACCGCCAATTCTTGGCGTCTCTAATTACCGGTGATTCTTGAAGTCTATAATTACCGGTAACTTTTGGTGTATGATTAACGGCAACCCTTGGCGTCTATAATTACCGGTAACATTTGGTGTCTATGATTACCGGCAACCCTTGGTGTCTATAATTACCGGCAACCCTTGGTGTCTATAATTACCGGTAACTCTTGGCGTCTATAATTACCGGTAACTCTTGGCGTCTGTATAACTAATTGTTGACGTCTTTACACAATTCAAGCTCAACATCAATGTAACTAACTGGTTCCAAGTATCGCAACCGATTACTGTTATTAGAAATACCAACTACTTAGGGTAATTACACCAATAATTAAGTGAATTATCAGTATTCACCCTCTTAAAGTGTAACAGTATTCACCCTCTTAAAGTATGACAGTAGTAAGTTGAATTGTTTAAAGTGAAAGTACAAGGGAAACATATCTACCGCATCCTAAATAGCTGTATAATATCCACTGTTGATATATACGACCTGAAAGAATCTCAAGGTCACATTGTTTCAGTGTGTCAGTTGACTGTGTGTGTATATGGGTAATTAACCACGAATACCCCCACGAAACGCTGTTAGATCGGGAAAGAGGGAGTTAAGACCCAGAGTATGGAATCTGAATATATATAGAAGGTAGTGTGGGTGGGTTGGTTGGTTGTTGGTGGTGGTGTGTAAGATATTGGTAAGTTAGATTCTTACTCCATAAACAACGAATCTCCATGCATCAGTGTAGCAAGGGAGGCGGCGCGCTTAGGACACGTCTACCCGACCCCCATAATAATTTATTATAACTATTCGTATATAAATGCTGATATAAATAATTAGAATGATAAATATTTAGTAATTCAAGGTGTTTAAAAGGTCATAAAGTCATAAAAATAGCGTTGGGTCATTAAGGAAAACAGCCAATATTGTCGAGACTTCCGTTCACCCAATATGACCCACCTCCCCCACCCACTATGACCCACCTCCCCCACCCACTGTGACCTACCACCCTCCCCCACCCCTGACCCACCTCCCACCCACTGTGTGACCCCCTCCCACCACTATGACCTGACCTACCCTCCCACCCACTATGACCCCACCTCCCCACCCACTGACCCACCTCCCCACCCTCCCCACCCCCACCCTCCCCCACCCACACCTAGACCTCCCCCACCCCCCCACCCACTGTGACCTCCTCCCCACCCACCCCCCCCCTCCCCACCCCTGACCCACCTCCCCCACCCCACAACCCCACCTCCCTCCCCACCCACTGTACCCACCCTCCCCCACCCCACTACCTACCTCCCCACCCCACAACCCCCCCCTCCCCACCCACTGTGACCCACCCTCCCCACCCACTATGACCTACCTCCCCCACCCACTGTGACCTACCTCCTCCCACGCACTGTGACTCATCCTCCACACCCGATGTGTTGTCAGGTTATTGTCCTCATCTTAAAAAATTATCGAGGCTAATTGAAAGAAGAGGTTAATAAACAAGGTGCTGTAATTAGCCCTCCCATGTGCTATAGATTAATAAGTTAGTTAATGTGTGGTTTATTAGACGCTGTTGTGGAATTTCATTAGTAGAAAATGATGTGGTATCACCTGAAGCTCATTTCGCTTGATGATTTAAAACCCAAATGCTAACCTAATCTGAACTAAATCTAATTTAACCTAACACTAGTCTAATTTAATGCCACCCTAACCTAACCCTTCTCTTCCAACTCTTGAGTGTCGGCAGCATTGTCCTTTGGGTGGTGAAGGGATGGCGTCGTTGTCTCTTTGGGGAGTGTGGGCGGCGGCGTTCCCTGGCTGGAAGGTTCCGAGTCAATTTATAGAAGAGGACAAAATTCGATATAGTTTTAGTTTTCTCTAATGATAAGTTCAGACGATTTGCATCTATGACTATGCCAGGGAGAAAGGAATCAGCAGTTATGACTTTTTAAAGTTGTAGAGGGTATAGGATTGAAGACATCCAGGGTGAAATGTATAGTTTGTTGTACTGTTCTGAGCAAGAATGGAACAAGAATGATGAAACATATTGAAAACTGTTTGAAGTGTACAGATGATATAAAGAAGAAATACCTGAGCTTAGATAAATCTAGGGTTAATTTCTCGCAATACCTAAACCCCTTGTCAACCCGCCGCAGCCGGTGTGTGTGTAAGGAAATAGCTGTTTTCACCTCTTCCAGGAGAGTATGCCTAGCTACAATGAATGACCAAAAAATTAATAATTTCTAGCATAGTAAATGGTGTTCAACAAATCAATTATTATTTTAAGTGAAATTAGGAAAAAAAATATGGGGAAAGAAACGCAATTTTTTTCATCACTAGTGGTGAGAGTGTGGATGGGTGTCCGCGGGAGGGGGTGGGGGGGAGTCCTCGACTGTTATTACGCCACTGCTTTAACAGAGGCTGCAGAGGAGAGTGAGGCAGCCAGGCTAGTAGGAACATGTTATACACCTGTTAGATAAGAAGAGATAATAAAACAAATAATAAACAAAACGAACGTCAAACAACAGACAAAATAAAGAAAAATAAAAGAATTGGGTGATTTTTTATGTGCGAATGGAAATGTGTTTTGAGGAGTCCAACAAGACCTGAGAAGTTCCAGCCAAAAGACTTTCTCTGACACCTTTAATAATTATGAGTGTGTTTGTGTGGTGGAGGAATGACTGCCATACACACGTTATTGTTACTGAATATTGGCAGGAGTTTCAATAACTTTAGTTCTATCTCTCGCGTCTTGCACAGGAAGTATACTGACGAAGATGAAGAATATGTGAAATGAAGTAACGGAAGTGTAATTTATACTTGGTGGGTAATGTGAATAAAGGTCTGAGTAGATAATAATGATTTAGTTAAAAAAATCACCTGCAAGTTCGCCCCCTACCAGGTTATTTCACCTGATTATTAAACACCTTGATGTGAACCTCACTTAACCCACCAGGTAGAGTTAGATTTGTTATGGTGTTTAATCATCAGGTGAAATGAGTTGATTGGGAGGGGGGGGGGATTCAAGTGTTTTAGATTTAAATATAATAATGGAAAACTCTACATAAAATATATTAGTTACAAAGGTGTGTTCATTATTAAGTGTAAGATAAAGATAATGACGAATTAAAAGGGAAAATAGGAGGAAATTAGCTGAAAAAGACATGATTTTTATGATAGAGGCTTAGAATAATGATAGAAGCCAACAGGACATGGGTGTTGTGGAGACCTTAGAAGGGAGAGCTGCCACCTTTCCCTCTCTCTGTCTGTATGTCTGTCTCACTCTCCCCCCCCCCTCTTTCTGTCACAATCTATGTTTAATTGTCTCTACCTCTCTCTCTCAATCCCACTCGTTCTCTTATTCTGACACACACACACACACACCATAAGACTTACATCATTCTCAATATTATTATTTATCCAGCACTGTTCCCTTACCTGTGAAGTTTGGACAAATACGCAATACCTTCAGATTTCTCCCCCATCAGTACAAATCCTTCTCCTTCAAGTATCATTTCAGTCCCTGTCTATTGCTGTGACGCCTCGCTGAATAGTCCTGACCATAATGCTTCTCTCGTCTCTCCCTGAGCTTAATATCTCGTAAAGAAATAATACCTTGTCAAGAGTCACCCGTTTTAATTCTGTCTGGTTCAAGCAATTTTTCGTTCAAGCTTTTGCGTCTTTGTTTACTAGTAATATAATTTATCAATCGGGTTAATTCTATTCGTCATTTGAGAAGATATCCACCAGCAGTATACTGAATAATATTACCATCCAGGAAACATAGGCACATAATAGAGATATAAAGGAAAAATTATATACACAAATCATGGGAAATTATATATAATAGTCTGAGATCAACGCCAATAAAACATAGTGAAGAAAATGGTGTCTATAAAACAAAGGTACACTGTATGTATATGTATTTTAAGTCATTCACATCATCACTAACATAATATTCTAATTCAAATGTTTCACATCTCACAAATTTAATCCAATTAAATAAACCTATGTTAGATTTTGAATTTATTTATTTAATTATTTATTTTTTGTGTATTAATTAAAATGAATTTGGTTAACGTTGTGTCGCGTAGTGTTAATTTATACTCATTGGTACGTCTTAAGCCAGTGTTTGGGTGGTCAGCTGTGAGTGTCAGTGTCTGTAGTGATGTGCTGTGAGTACTTGTTGTGGTGATCAGCTGTGAGTATCAGTGTGTGTAATGATCAGCTGTGAGTACTTGTTGTGGTGATCAGCGGAGTAGTATGGTGATCAGCTGAGTAGTGTGGTGATCAGATGAGTAGCGTGGTGATCAGCTGAGAGTATCAGTGTTTGTGATCTGTCTAGGTTCTTGTGGCTGGTCGTAGATGACGTCATGATCGAGGTGGTCCTCCAGTTCATGTTGAAGGTTGTCCTCGCCTTGTAACCCCTCGAATAAGTCGCACTGCTGTAGGAGGACCTGTCTGAGGCTCTCTTCGTGCTTTGGGATGGTCGACAGCACCACCTCCAAGTTCTTGTGTACCTGTGGGTAGTGTTGATAGTTACGGCAGGTTAGGATAGGTTAAGGTTGGGTTAAGTTTAGGTTAAGTTAGGGTTGGGTTAAGTTTAGGTTAGGGTAGGTTAGGTTGGGTTAAGTTTAGGTTAGATTAGGTTAGGTTAAGGTAGGGCTAAGTTTAGGTTAGGTGAGGTGAGGTGTGTTCGGTGTGTAGCATTATCTGGGACAGGACTTCTGTGGTTAAGTTGGGTTTAATCTTTAATCATCTGGTGAAATAAGTAACGGGGCTGATCTTCAGGTGACTTGAAAGCTTTAATCCTGTTTAAAAGATTTGCATTTTATTTATATACTTTGGGGGGGGGATTTAGTAAAATTTTAACCACTTTACTCCAAGGACGCCACTTTTAATATTTTATTTGGTTAATAGCAGACGATTTTATTCAGCACAGATTGGACCCCGTACACAAGGGGTTAGTAGACTGTCTTCCCGAAATGTGTTGAAAACAAAGTCGAAAATGTAAACATTCGCTTCCTGTGATGGTGTTAATTTCAGATGTTTTGTAATTTTACTTAAACTTTAATGATCTTGATGAAGTTCTTGAGGTGTTATTATTATTATTATTATTATTATTATTATTATTATTATTATTATTATTATTATTATTATTATTATTATTATTATTATTATTATTATTATTATTATTATTATTATATTATTTGTATTCTTATAATTACTATTATTATTATTGTTATGAGCTGATACAACCACGAGGATCGAATCCAGGTAAAAAAGTCAGGTAAAAAAGTCACAGAAAAAAGTCACAGGAAAAAAAGTCAGGAAAAAAAGTCACAGGAAAAAAAGAAAAGTTAACTATCGAATTCTCACATTTTTTAAGGTTAATATGTCAATCAGTTTCAGTAAAGGAATATGCAGAACTGATGGTAAATTAATGAGAAAGCTGTTTTCAATCTGTACATGTCATGGACTGTCAATAAATGACTGACTTAAATATTTTTGTTTGATTACCTTACTGTGCTTAAGATATTGAACAAAACGTGTTTTGTTTTCACATACATGTAATGCCATCATATATAAATAGTGTTGTCAATGTATTGCCAGTTAATAACTGAATTAAAATATTTTCAGTTTTATTACTTTAATTGTTTATGGTACTTAAATAAACTGTGACTGACTTGAATATTTTTTTTGATTACCTGACTTTCTTTCTTAACCAAAATTGTGACTTTTTTTCTTGTGCCTTTATTACCGGCCACCATAAATTAATTGTGACTTTTTTTCCTGTGACTTTATTACCGGCCACCCGAGGATCTGCCAGTGTGTTGTGATGGATTATAGGCTGTGTTGTAACTCACTCCTGCCTTATTACGCATTTAAACACCTTAATGCAATTATTGAAGCACATTAATAACATCGATAACGTCACCGTCAACTCACTTCCTGTAGTTTGAGGGAGACGTGATGTATAGTGGTCTTCCAGTAGCGTTGGTGGTGTTGGTGTAGTTCTTCCTGACGGCGCAGTACCCTCGCCACCTCTTCCCACGACCTCTTCACCCCCACCTGCCTGTGTGATACAACCCTTCAATTTCAATTTCAATTGTTTATTCCTTGATAGAGGAAGCGGGATCCTAGTGCTGTCACTAGGTACCCCTGTACAATGACACCAGAAGCATCTGGCAAGTGTGACAAGTATATACAGTATAAATATTATAAAGGGGCTTACTAAAGCCTAAGGAAGGAAGGATATTCCTTTAACACATAATCAATATTATTTACAAAATATCTGGCCAGTATGGGGAGGATCATCGTGTCTCCGTCAGGGGGTCGTGGAGTGGTGGTCCAGCAGGCGTCACGGAGGCGTTGTGTGTGGGGACATCTTAGGAGGTAGTGAATAAGGGTGCTGCTGTCGGGTCTTCTGCATAACACAGATACAACCCTTAGTTTTCCTTCACAACACCGTGTTACTGTGAGAAGTTAAAGTGGTTGGTGTCAGTCTCTCTCTCTCTCTCTCTTTTACTCGCCCTCTTATTTCTTTTCTCTTTTCGTCTCTTACTCACTGTATTTTCCTCTTATCTTTCTCTCTCTTAATCTATTATGTTTTCGTCTCTCTGCCGGTTAATTCAGGTTAGGTTAGGTTTCCCTTCAGTTTACACACCCCCATTTCTTATAAGTGCTGTACACACCTGTGGGGAAGAGAAGGTGGTGGGGGGTGGTGACGAGCTAGGTGTTCCAGGTGTGTGAGTTTGGTGTACAGCAGAGCATTCCCCACTAACAGTACCAGCAAGGCAGTCACCACTACCACCCCTGCCCATCCCTGCACCTTGTCCGACTCCGAGGCTGGTGGTTCCTTCAAGATTTCTGTAGTGAAGTGGTGATGGGATTGCATTTGTGGAAAAAAAATTAATTGAATATAATTTCAACTTAACTTAATCTTATATAATTCTAGCCAAACCTAACGAAATTCTAACTTATCCTAACCTAATCTAATATTATTCTAGCGAAACCTAATGTAATTGTAAACTATCCTAACCTAGTGTTACCTAATCCAATTCTCCTTTAATTTAATCTTATAATAATTCTAACCTAACTTAACCTTGCTTATTTAATTCCAGCTAAACTTAACCTAATCGAATTGAATCTACAACACAGAGGTTGCTCGGTGAAAATAATTTAAGGAAATAATCCGGGTAATTAAATCATCTAAAACAACAACCACTAATAACAACAATCCTTAACAACAACAATCCTTAACAACAACAATCCTTAACAACAACAACCACTAACAACAACAGCGTATTTTAACGTTCCCTAACTTGGTGTACAGTATGTTAAGTTACTACACTATGATTTTTTTACAACAAAAATATGTTAATTAAGGTTAAGCAAATTGGCGGCTGAATTATAAGTGGTTAAAGATTCACATCACCATTGTGGTGTGTGTGACAAGCATGGGGGGGTAGTTTTATACTAAGCTGTGTTCCTATTAGACAAGACATGTACTAAAACGTTAAAAAAAGTGTTGAGCCGCGAACAGGAATCCGTTTAAAAACCTTACCGAAACTGTATCAAACTCGTATAAGATATTACAGTACAGTTCAGCGCCATTGTTATGGGTATAGGCAAGCAATTCGGGGATTCGTTCCAGCAGTTCTGAGTCTAAGAATGTATAAATGGACTTTTATTCGTGACTGTACACTCCTTCCAAAAAGTAACTTTACAGAGGGTCCGATAAATTTCAAAATGAACACCACGACTCCTGTTGTTTCGGTAGGGTTGTCAAAATCCTTCGTTGTGTCATATGGCCTCACGCAAAATCGGTGAAGAGTGCGGGGAGATATGATAGAAGTATTTAAGTGGGTGAAAGGAATCAATAAAGGGGATATAGATAAAGTTCTTATAATATCCGAGCAGGATAGGACTCGGAGCAACGGATTCAAGTTGGATAAGTCTAGGTTTAGGAGGGAGATAGGAAGAAACTGGTTCACAAATAGGGTGGTGGACGAGTGGAACAAGCTTAGCAACTTTGTAGTAAGTGCGGGATCTCTGGAAAGTTTCAAAAGGAGGCTAGATAGATTCATGGATGATAGAGAGTGGTAGTAACTCTCGACAGGAGCTGCCATGCACAGGCCAACCGGCCTATTGCAGACGCCTTATTTTCTTATGTTTTCTTCTGTAAAGTTACTTTTTGGATCGAGTGTACAGTCACCCACAAAAGTCCTGTCGCCTATCCTCCTGAAACACGAACCCCGAGATTTAGACTCGTGAACCCGAAGCATTATCCACAAACGCTTCGGATTCATGAATGTGAAGCTCGGGGCTCGTGGTTCAAGAGAGGCGACAAGACATTTGTGGGCGACTGTCATGGTCACTGTAGTATCTTACCTTCCTCGGTGGCGTGGGCAAGGTCATGGTCATGGTCGTGTGAATTATCCTCAACTTTATCGTCATGGTCGTATGCTCTTGATTGTATTCGTCTTCGTCGTCCCATCGCCACTAAGGCAGTCCTCTCCTCCTCCGTCACCAACTGCGTCAGGAGCTCAGCCATCAACGCCTCCACCCCACTGTATGTGTTCTTCTCCAACACCACTGTGGAGGAGGACGAGGGTGAGGGAGGAGCTGTTAGATTCTCACGTTAGGTTAGGTTAAGTTTACGGAGTTCGGTTAAGGTGACTTGAGTTATAGTTAGATAGGTTATGTTAATATTAGGTTAGGTTAAGGTAATTAGGTCAGGTTAGGCTAGTTTAAGATTTGGACGTAGTTAAAGTTATGTTATGTTGGGTTAATTAAAGCTGGGGGTAGGCAGGACACTCAGTCGTTCCAGTAGTTCTTCGGCTCCTACACAAATACAATTTTCTTTACAATTTTATACTTTTGTTTCAACCGTAGTGTCATGTACAGTGTTTGTTAAAATTATCACAATATTTATAAAACGTTAATATATGAAACAAGGAAGCTTTCGTGTGTGTGTGTATATATATATATATATATATATATATATATATATATATATATATATATTGATAAAATCACACGGAAAATGGAAACAACGGTACCTCAGCTTTCGTCTTTATTCAAGACATCTTCAGAGGCAACTGAATAAAGACGAAAGCTGAGGTGCTCCGTTGTTTCATTTCCTGTGATTTTATCAAGATATATCTATCCACGTTTTCATTGTGGATCTACATAAATATATATATATATATATATATATATATATATATATATATATATATATATATATATATATATATATATATATATATATATATATATATATATATATATATATATATAGTAAATCGGTATATTAATGTGTAAATATAACCTAAATTATATTAGCGATAGGGTGGTTAATCTTCAGGTGATCCGTAAAGTGACCCACCTTTCATTAAACCCCAAGGAGTCTTCTTGTACATGACCCTGGACCATACGGTGATAATGGTGGTGTGGTCGGCGGCGCTAGTGAAACAGTAGTAGTTTAACACGGTGAAGTCATCACCATGCGGGATACCTGTGTTAAACACCTCTGTCTCCACCACATACCTGTACCCCGCCCGGCTCTCCTGCACCACCTGTAGGGTATAATACACACACACTCATTGTCTTCACCAAGAGTTCCTAAGTTTAGATATTTTATGATTACCTGAAAATTTGCTCTCTCCTTCAGGTTATTTCACCTGAAGAATAATCACCTTAACCTAATCTATACGAACTTAACCCAACCCTCTCTAACCGAAGCTAATCTAATCTAACCTACCCTAATCTGATATAACCTCACCTAACCCCACCAGGTAACGTTATAGTGGTTAATTTTCTGGTGAAAACAGATGGGGGCTAATCTTGAGGTGTTGGTGCAGGTCAAAGAGATCGTGTGTTGTTTGAGACTCACCTGCCTCTCAGTAACATTGGAGGCCTTGGAGGTGATGCTGGAGATGGAGAGAGACATAGTGTAGGTCACCTCCCGTACTCGGCGACCATCCTCCTGCTCCTGCCACGGCGTCTTCATTATATCTGGAGGATGATTGATACCTGGAGTGTCAAGACCTACACCACAGCCACCAACAACGGCACTAGAGCACCAAGGGTCACCTGAAGGAGTGCCAAAACCTTCAGCACAGCCGCGAACAACGGCACTAGAGCACCAAGGGTCACCCGAAGGAGTGCCAAGACCTAAACAGCCTCCTACAGTGGCACTAAACCTTCATGGGGCACAATAATAGCCGTAGGAGTTCTTCAGTTAATACCCAGACTATCGGTAGCGTCTGACTAAAACATTCACGACTTTTTATCATGTGTTTGGGTGAGAGTAGTCGCTTACTGCAGATGCTTGTAATAATCATACTAACATATTTAAGTGTTTGGCTTCCTGTCATTTATTTACATAAGTGTGCTAACATTTTCATCAAGGTTTCTTATTGTTGTTTTGTAGTAAAATGTTGATATTATTTCATGTTAAGCTAAATATAACTGCTACTACAACACCCAACCCTAATTAACCTAACCTAATATAACGCTGACCTAATCTGCGCCAATCTAATTTAATTTAACACTAACCTAATCTAACGCTAACCTAACCTAATCTAACGCTGACCTAACATAACCTTACCTAACGTTAACCTAACTTAAACCTAACCAAACCTCCCCCAGGTGGCGTTATGGTGTTAAATCATCAGGTGAAATAAGCTAGAGAAGAGGATGTGCCTATTTCGGGTAATTAAAAATTAAATACCGAATACTTATGCTAGTTCTTGATTGTTTTCATATCAAATTATCTTAAAAATGAGGCAAAACGGACACTGCGGTGAGAACTATTCCAAAGACTTACCAGTGACCTTCCTAGCAGAGAGGACGTCAGCCATGAAGCGGTCGTGCAGGAACACTAAGTTAAAGACTGTGTCAACGGGGAGGTGGACGAAGGAATTTATCACCTCCTTCCCCTGGTGCTGGACTTCAAGGAGACGAGACCCAGCTGGAACAACAAGAACTATAAAGTAAACCCTCTTAATAGCGGACTTCTTAATAAGGTAATGGATACAGTAAACCCTCTCAATAGCAGACTTCTCAATAAAGTAGTGGATCCAGTAAACCATCTTAATAGCAGACATCTCAATAAAGTAGTGGATCCAGTAAACCCTCTCAATAGCGGACTTCTTAATAAGGTAATGGATACAGTAAACCCTCTCAATAGCAGACTTCTCAATAAAGTAGTGGATCCAGTGAACCCTCTCAATAGCGGACTTCTCAATAAAGTAGTGGATCCAGTAAACCCTCTCAATAGCGGACTTCTCAATAAAGTAGTGGATCCAGTAAACCCTCTCAATAAAGTAGTGGATCCAGTAAACCCTCTCAATAGCGGACTTCTCAATAAAGTAATGGATACAGTAGACTGTCCCATTCATGAACCCGAGACCTTTGAACTTGAGAATCAGAGACACCACACAGTACACCATCTATAGACCCAACAGTGTCATGTCTCGTATTCACACTTTCATGAGGCTTAGGGTTCATGGGTGGGACGGAGGAGTGATAGGACTTTATGCCGCGACTGTATGTTAATCTTATAATTATGTAACAGTTACTTTGTCGTGTGGAGCTGGCGTCATCACTTTCTATTTCATTCTCTCTCCCGTCTAGGTCAATCGTGGAGCCTCTAGTTGGATCTGTCTGGGCGAGATAAGACAGAGGTGTTGGATGGATGATCTCACTGTTGGCCTCGTCCACCTCCGAGTAGAATGACTCCTCCTGCTCCTCGTCCTCACCTTCCCCGTCTCCCACCTGAGGGGACCGTCAACGTTGTTTGAGCCGTAATGTTAAATTAATGTTTTATTGTTGTTTGGGTGTCACCTTGATTAATTTTTGTCATCAATAGTGTTATTGATTTGGTTTCATTTTTCACTAAACTGTTCTTGAATAAACAAACCTTTCATAACGTAATGGAAAAAGTTTTATACCGTATAATTATTCAATGGGTGACAAAGTACAGACGTCATATGAATTGTCAAAGCTATCAACGTCTTATTAGATAAATGTAGTATGAACGACCTCACCTTTATTGCCGGTAGTTATGTTTAGATCAAACCATCACATTATCATACCTCTTCCAGCTTCATGTGTGTTGGTGGTGTGCGATGTTGTGTTATCTCCAGGTGTTTTGGCACCCCTTCCTGGTCACTTGGCACCCCTTCCTGGTCACTTGGCACCCCTTCCTGGTCACTTGGCACCCCTTCCTGGTCACTTGGTACCCCTTCTTGGTCACTTGGCACCCTTTCTTGGTCACTTGGCACCCCTTCTTGGTCACTTGGCACCCCTTCCTGGTCACCTCACACACTGTCACTCGTCTGGCTGGAGGCACTGGGCAGAATTGAAGACAGTGTTGTGTGTGTCAAAACCACCTGTAGCTTGATATAGTTCTTAATAATATCCAGGCAATAGATTACAGTTCACTAGTAAGTATAGCTACAGATTGTGATATTTGGCATATTGTGAAATTGAACTTTATGATTTTATTTAGGACATGTTTTATATTTATTCGGAGCACCTACAGATTTACCTCCTTAACGCTAACAAAACTTAAAGATTAGATATCCCAGCTTATTTTACCTGGAGATTAACTACTCTAATGCTACTTGGGGGGGTAGGTTAAGATAGGGTAGGTTTAGTTAGGATAAATTAAGCTGGGTAAGTTAGATTAGTTTAGCGTTAGAGTGGTTAATCTTCAGGTGAAATATTCTAAATAATCTGGAGTGTTTACTCTTCACGTTATTCAATTACTCTTTCCACGCTAACCTGGCCCGTAAGAGACGCCCCTCTTCTATCTGATTGGTTCATAGAAAAATCAAACTAAATGTGTTCACAATTGGTAAGTAGACCTGTTATTAGCTACAATAATGTTAAATATTTGGACTATAAATGCAAATCATTTCAAGGCATTAGCACTTCAGAGAGGATGTTAGAAATGTTTAAATATCTATTATAAAAGGTGGATATATATACGCCCAGTCTGGGGGAGGTAAAACGTTCAGGCGAACCAATCGGCTATTTGTAGCTATAGACGAGGGGCGTGGCTTACGGGCTAGGTTAGCGTGGAAATACTAGTTAAATGTTCTTACTTCCTGTCAGGGCCGGATTCAGGAGTGGGCAAAGTGGGCAGCTACCCAGGGGCCTCCACATTCTGGGGGCCTCCACATATTACAATATTTAATTTTTTGTTTATTCATTTGGATTATTTTTATTTTCATTCTTTAAAATTCATGGGAATTTGTACACTATCAATAAATATACAGTTAATTATAAATTTCTCAATGTTCTAATTTCCTCATTATAACTGCATATGGCTTCAAAATTCTCCAAAGAAGTGTTCAAATTTCACAATTTTCCCGGGGGGCTTACAGCGCCCCCCGGAACTCCCACAAGTTTAGGCTCGCTTCACTCGCCACCCCACCCTCTTGGGTAGTTATAATGAGGGGGGCCTCCACAAAGAGGCTGCCCATGGGCCTCCACAGGTCTAAATCCGGCACTGCTTCTTGTTTGTTTAAATTATTTACTTGGGAGGGGGAGTTGAAGAGATGTGTGGTCTCGGGTCTGTTTTTCTGCCATTTTAATTGGGTGAGTTTATTTAATAATAGGAATAAATTTGGTAAAGTTGTCTCTGGCGATGACCGAGAATTAAATGAATTTCGAGAAACCTAAGTAACGTAACCTAACGTAACGTAAACTAACCTAACCTCCAGCGAGACAACGTGGTGAACGCAATTTCGGGTTAATAATACATAGGAACGTATAACCAATCAAGTCAGTACAGTAATGCGTTCATGTTGGAAACAAGGCTAACAAAGTACTAGGGTTCATATGTATAGGAGTGTTAGTAACAGGACTAGCGAAGTTATCCTAATACCTCGCTTATGTGAGACCTCACTTGGATTATGTGCTTCAATTTTGGTCACCGTACTATAGAATGGATATTGATTTATTAAAAAAACATTCAGAAGAGGATAGCAGTTAATCCATTGAGTATAGAGACATTAAAAAATTTATTTACATTTTCTTGAGACGTTGAGTGAGAGGCGATATGATCCAAGTATATACATGGAAGATGGGGTTAAATAAAGATGATATAACTAAGGTGCTTAAACTATCAAACCAAATTAAGATTTTGGTGGGAGTTAAGTGAGCGCTGGTTTGGAAATAAAGAGTTGTGGATGAGTGGAACAAGTTACCGAACATCAACATTAACTCGAACATGCTAGGTAATTCCAAATTACAGGTAAGGCAGATATTTGAGTATGAAGGGTTGGGTGTAAACAGGGCTGCCTAGTATGGACCAACAACAGACCAATTGTAGTTTCATTTATTCTTTTGTTCTTAATTTCCCAGCCATCGCGAAAAACAACATGAGTGAGATTGTCTGTATGATTTTAACTTTAGTGTTAAAGAAATTATTTGTCTCTTCAAAGTTAAATCCTGTAACAATATAAGTTATCTTATCTCCTGGGAATAATAATCAACTTTATTTCTTAACTAATACCACGAGACAATCTTTACTTACGATGTACAGATAAAACTGTACTGTATATAATTATACAGTACTCTTAACCTGTGGAAGTACTGGGTTCCTCACACGAGTTCACCTTCACACGAGACTATAATTTTATGACTTCCTGACGCGCACTGTGTAAAGTGAACTCCACACGTTGTAACAGAGGCGACAAGCATAGGTGGTGGAGTACCTCAGTTGCCAGCGTTCTTCATACAACCACCTTGTTTTAATAGACCTTGGAGAGGTGGGTGAAAGGGAAGGATTCTTGCCCTCTATTAAGCTTATAATTACTACTTTAATGCTCTTTAGAACAAAAAACAAATAAGTTTAATTTTTTTATAAGCTTTGGAGATGCTCCTCGGCCAAGAAAGAATTATCATACCTCTTTGGATGCAACTTTTATCCCTTTGCAATTAACGATCTTATCATTCTCAGGACGGTTCTGCATTATCATTTTGCAATATCCTAAGAGACCAGATGTTGAAATACACGAATATAAACTTGAATATTTAAACCACATTGTCGTAAAGTTAACCAAGTAGCCTTCTGAGTTGGAAAGAGATTTTATCGTATAAGGTGTGGTGTGCCTTATCTGATGACTGATAAGGAAGCTCCTTCCTCTGTAATGACGTCACGAACCATGAATAAGACGGTACCAAACTAGTGATCAAATTTTGAATCACACGAAAAATAGACACTTAGCTGGGGGGTGTTTAATCTTTAGGTAAAATAAAATGGGGTGTCTAAACTTCAGGTGATCCGAAAATTAAAAAAAAAATTGCTTACGTGGAAAAACCTTGTTCGTACGTCAGTCGAAGGTGGACATACGGGGTAGCAAACCCAGCTAAAACACCCTTCAGTACCTACCCCCCACTACCATGAGTACCTCCCCCCACCACCATGAGTGCCTCCCCCCACCACCGTGAGTGCCTCCCCCCACCACCGTGAGTACCTCCCCCCACCACCATGTGCCTACCTCCCCCACCACCATGAGTACCTCCCCCACCACCATGATGTACCTCCCCCACCACCATGAGTACCTCCACCACCATGAGTACCTCCCCACCCACCACCATGAGTACCTCCCCCACCACCATGAGTGCCTCCCCACCACCAGAGTACCCCCCACCACCATGAGTACCTCCACCACCATGAGTACCTCCCCACCACCATGTACCTCCCCCCACCACCATGAGCCTCCCCCCACCACCATGAGTACCTCCACCACCACCCTCCCCCACCATGAGCCCCCCACCTCCCCCACCACCATGACCCCCCACCACCATGAGTACCTCCCCCACCACCATGACCTCCTCCCCCCCCACCACCATGATACCTCCCCCCACCACCATGGTACCTCCCCCACCGTAGTACCTCCCCACTACCATGTGCCTCCCCCACCACCATGAGAGCCTCCCCACCACCATGAGTACCTCCCACCACCATGAGTACCTCCCCACCACCACAGTACCTCCCCCCACCACCGTGTACCTCCCCCCACCACCGTGAGTACCTCCCCCACCACCATGAGTGCCTCCCCCACCATGAGCCTCCCCCCACCACCATAGTGCCTCCCCCACCACCATGAGTACCTCCCCCACCACCATGAGTACCTCCCACCACCCCTGCGGGTACCTCCCCCCACCACCATGAGTGCCTCCCCCACCCACCATGAGTACCTCCCCCCACCACCATGAGTACCCCCCGAGCTACAGGTGCTCCCCCCACCACCACCACCATGAGTGCACCTCCCCCCACCACCATGAGTGCCTCCCCCACCACCACCACCATGAGTACCTCCCACCACCATGAGTACCTCCGCCCCACCACCATGGTACCTCCCCCCACCACCATGAGTACCTCCCCCACCACCGTGAGTACCTCCCCCCACCACCGAGTACCTCCCCCCACCACCATGTGCCTCCCCCACCACCATGAGTACCTCCCCCACCACCCCTCACCACCATGAGTACCTCCCCCCACACCACCATGAGTACCTCCCCACCACCATGAGTACCTCCCCCACCACCATGAGGCCTCCTCCCACCACCATGGTGCCTCCCCACCAGTGCCTCCCCACCACCATGAGTACCTCCCCCCACCACCGTGAGTACCTCCCCCACCACCATGAGTGCCTCCTCCCACCACCACCATGAGTACCTCCTCCCCCACCACCATGAGTACCTCCTCCCACCACCATGAGTGCCTCCCCCCACCACCATGGTACCTCCTCCCCCACCACCATGAGTACCTCCCCCACCACCATGTCCTACCACCACCATGAGTACCTCCCCCACCACCATGAGTGCCCCCCCCCACCACCTTGAGTGCCTCCCCCCACCATTATAGTACCTCCACCCCACCACCATGAGTACCTCCCCCCACCATGACCTCCACCCACCACCATGAGTACCTCCCCCACCACCATGAGTACCTCCCCCACCATGACCTCCTCCCACCACCATGAGTGCCTCCCCCCACCATTGGTACCTCCCCCCCACCTTGAGTACCTCCCCCTTGCGTATCTTTGCTGCCACACGCAGGAAACGCACTTTAGATACCAGCATTGCTAGGCCTCACCACGATAACTTATTTCATATTATATGCCATAGTGTTATAGTCTATGTAATATGGCAGAGCTTTACAGTGTATGAAATATCTCTTAGGTATACAGTATATAGTTTATGTAATATGATATAACTTAATAGTCTTTATAGTATGGTATAGTATCTTAAGTTGTCTCGAAGCAGGGATGACCAAAGCTTTCTTGATTAATACTACTGCGGTGGTTGAATGGATATAGTACTCGTTTCTTGTCCTAATGATCACTGGTTCGAACCCGTGTTATTTTTATTCTACTCGGCTGTTTTAAATGGTATATCTAATTCTATTGACGAGAGAGAAGTTTCTGCAATAAGTAATGATGTTTTATTACCTGGATATTAACCCCCATAGCTTATTTTACCTGAGGATTATTAGTTTTTTACGTTACCTTGATGATTAGGTTAGGTTAGATTATATTGGGTTAGGTTAGGTTAGATTGTTTGGTTAGGTTAGCGTTAGGTTAGGTTAGCTTAGCGTTACGTTAGGTTAGGTTAGCTTTATTGTGTTCAATTATCAGGTGAAATAAGGTGGTGGCTAATCTTCAGGTAATCCGATTCTGTCAGTAATTTAACTTTTCTCCCACTGACTGAGTTTGTTCTCATGAACACCTTTGAGGACCAGAGGGTTAAAACTTCGTCCAATAATTGTTGAATCAAAACCTTAAATTATAGTCCTCTAAGGGTTAAAACTTCGTCCTAAAATGGTGAAGGAACATTTGACGAGGCCGGACATGCCAACCCATTGTGTGTGTAGTAATATTGTTTTTATCATGTGATCTAACCTCCACCCTCTCCTGCCCAGGTAGAATTAAATGTTTAATCATCATGTATAATAACTTTGGGGGTTATTCTTCAGGTGATCCTTATGACTAAACCCATCCAGCGCATCTTTGTCTTCTCCTCGTAGGTGTATCATAGCCCGTACCAGAGATCGTAGGTGTAATGTGACGAGTATCCGTACTAGATAGTGGTGCTTAACTGATTTGATAAGTTATCTCGCCTGGTGACTGACTGACTAGTGGTGACATATTAATATATTTGTAAGTGAAATACTTTGATGACTTTTCTTTTAAATTACACTTGATCATCCATTAATTATAATATATCCTGCCTTTAATAAAGGCTATAGTCTCCTTAACATTATAATTTTCTTTCCTACTTAACCACATACAGTAAATATAATCTGACATTAGCATGATCATTGTATTCTTATCCTTATTATCACTACAGTTAATATTAAACATTAAGAAATGTAGAAATAATTTGCTATTGACATTGCAGACTGTATTCAGGAGATTTTTAAACCATTTAATTATCTCTTTGTTATGGAAACAAGTAAAATACATGTAATGGATATTCTACCTCACCACATCTTACACAACTATCATCTTGTTTTTTGTTTAACATTTTTAGTCTCTGATTTGTTGGTAGAGTTTCATGAATATACCTATATATGAAGCCTCTCTGGTGAGGATCCATATATTTACAAGTAATATTTTCCCAAATAATGGGCCATTTAAACAGCGGATACTTTTCTTCAACTGCAGGTTTTGTCCATATCATTAACATATTGTACGCATCTTTATTCTTGACATTGGGAAAGTTATGATGCCTTGCTAACCTTCTTAGAGTATTAATTGCAATACTATAATAAGGTGGAGACAAGTAGGAAACATTATCTGTAGGTTTCATTTCTAATAGATAGCCGGTCCTTATACTGTACTTGTATAATATGGAGTTAAAGATTTCCTCTTTTCATGGTCTGAAGCAATTTTTCGGTGGTGGATTCTAGGTGTCTTGCTTTTTCTGTTTTCGTCGTTCATGGTCATCACGAACGGCAGCCCGAAAGAACGTACTGTACTGTAAGACATTTTACTTTTTTTAATTTATCCCTTTTCTTGTTAACTTTCAGAACCACTAATTAAACCTATTTTGCTATACTGTGCTACTGTAGCGTTGTATAAATAGGAACTAGCAAGTCAGGGAGTTGTTACATGCATGATCCATGTGTTGTAAAAATACGTAAACACAACTGCAGTACAATATTCACTTAATAGCCGGATTTGACGAGATGTATAGAGATTTTTTTTAAATTATCCTCACGTAACATCATCAATCAGTATATATATATATATATATATATATATATATATATATATATATATATATATATATATATATATATATATATATATATAATATGAATACATTACATGTTGATTAAGGTTTACTTTGCTTGCTTGATGATCTTCAGTCAATCACATTATTGCTTAAGAGTTAACAATATCATCAGGTGGTGTAATATTTCCTCATATCAGTTGCCGAATTTCCTTAGACACTGTTAACTAGTTTAATATTTTATCAGTACATACTTGTCATTAGTGTTTCATGTGTTATTTCTTGAGTGTAATTGTGTAATATTAAACTAGTACGTACTGTACCTTTGAATTTAGGAACTGATAATGAAATGCATAAATTACAAATGTCGGAAAATTTAGTTCAGTAGTTAACAATTAATTCTAGCCATTACCCCAAAACAAGACTGACACCAATACTCATTACCCCGACATAGGTTTGTCAACAGTTTATTTCCATACTCCGCCGTGGGAGAGTGAGGCAAGAGGTACCAACTCTGTCGCGTCCAGGACGTGTCCGACACATGAATGACCAGTGGTTGTGTATGGAATTAAGAAGCAGGAAAATCATGGCAATCTTGTAATAAACAGAAACGCCCACACACATCTACGCCCACACATGGCTACGCCCATACGCCCACGTAAACAGCCGTGAGGAGAACTGACCAGGATGTTTATAGGCTCCCCCCCCCCCCGTCAGACCAGATGGACTCCATTTGTCAATCTCTCAAGGAAAAACAGATGTAGACCTGTATTAGGTGTCATGAGGATAAATCATTACGATAGCTCTGCCCAGAAACTGACGTGACTACGCCCATATAGTGAACTAACCAATCAGAAAAGGGAACAGAAGAATCTTTGGATAAAACGGGCACTGACAGGACACTCAGAATGTGTTCTCTGCAGCTGGTGAGCAGTGTTGGAAATACAGGCAGTTTTAGCATTGGGTGTGTTATTGTGTGACGGTTTTCTGGATGAGCCTGCGGCGTGTCGTACTGAGGCGTGGTAACGTGTATTACTGTATTTTTATCTGTAGTCGTGCGGATGTATAGTGATTCCCCCATGGTACCTCCAGTTAGAAATAGGACGTACACATATGACTTCATATCACGTCTTTGCTGAATAAATTTAACTTGGTGATCTCTTTCCATTTCCCTTCTTAACTACAATAACCTAAACAAAGGGGTCCCCCAATAACATGGATGGATACAAGAGTATATAGAGTCAAGTGACCCACCTTTACGTGACTCCAGTGCCGCCCCGGCTGAATAGAGTAGAACAACAACTTATATTATAATCTCATGGGCTGTCGTTACCCCCGAAAAATGTCAAATTACCCCATTTGGGGGTAATTTGACCCCTAATTGGGAACCGCTGATTAAATGTATACAGTTGGAAATGAGCGTCATATTACCTGTATAAATACTCTTTCCTAAACCATAAAATCACTTAATATAATCTGTTAAGTTATTATTTGTATCCTGTGTTGATGAACTGGTGTAATTACTAATCTTGCTACGTGCTTGCAGACCTTAGTTGTTGGAGCGCAATAATAACATTATAACAACAAATACGATTATTGAAGTGTTCCATTTTAGGTCTAGTTAAGTATGAACTATAATATATAAAGATATTTTATTGTTCATAATCACAATATTTTTAAGTGGTCCATTGTAAACCTAAAACGCGTACGATTTATTACGGTAATCTATCTGCTGTTCGCAGGTGACCTTGACTGGTACCGAACACACACTATCAGGAGACCAACGCCACACTCAGTACCTCTCCAGCACCTAACCATCACACATGACAGTCTACCAGGTAAGAAAATAAACACACTCTTACTCTGTGCTACTCCTCATGAATAGTGTAATAATGTCTTAAAGCAAGTAAATTATTTTCAGTGCGAGTGAAGTTAGAGAAAGTTTGTGTAAGTTGGTGTGTTGTAATACCACATGGAGGGCGGTGGTGTCAGCTGACAGCCTCGTGCAAGTGTAATATAATATTATAGTGTAGCGTAGTGAGGTTGTGTTGTGGTTTTGCATGCTCATTCATTTTGGGAAGATTTGCTTGTTTGTGGTTGATTTTGCTTAACAGGTTGTGGTCGTTCTTATTAATTTACGTGCTTCACTGGCCAGAGGAGTTAACTCAGAAGTACCACAGATCTGCGTGAAAACAGAAAAGTGAGGAGTGATAATTTGTCCTTCAGTGAAGTGATCATTTATTCACAGCAAACTCGTAAATACCTCCTTATACAAATATGTTTATCTTATACGATTCTCTTTTATAACTCGAGAATTAGTGAACCAGAAGTGAGGGAAAATAATTATACGCATATTAGAGAGATTATTGTTAACGCCAAGTTTTGAATAACTTGTTTTGTTAGTCATGTACTGCAAGGCGACGCGTAAGACAAACTTGACACTCAATTTTTACTACAGACGCACACCACTCGCTCACTCACTCATTGTACTAAGAAATACATTGTTTAAAAGTTAACAAGAAATGAAGTTGATTATATCCACGTGACTGACGATAATCAAACTAAATGTAATTATTGTATGTGACCCCAGCCTTCATCTATCATTGTAAACTGTTGGGTAATTATATATTTCTGGTTACGTTTACAGTTTTATATTCCGGAGTGTTCATGAATGTAAGTGTTTAACAGTGGAAATAAACATTGACTGATTATACTAACGAACGCTTTAATTATTACACTGATGTCTTGTGATAAACTAGAGAATATTTTGAGCGGTTACAACATCAGATGGTAGTAACACGTTTTTGGTTGGGTGTTGTGATGTAACGTAAGAGTACATTATTTATTCTTACTAATCGTTATATCACGGACTCGTATAATTGGCTAGTCTATCATGCAACCTCCCTCCCTCCCACCCATTCACACTCGTGCTACGGGAAACACGTGGGAGAGGCGTTACTTAATGGTTACTCGTTTTCTCGTTTACTCGGCCGGGCGATACCGTAGACACTTTATGAGCTAAGAAGTTGAAATTTTGTTTTAATCGTTTAGCACTAGTTTAATTACATAGTATACTCGCTTAAGTAACGTAGTTGTTGAAGGGCAGTAATGTATTATAACATTAGCTATTATTGTCAACACAATTTCGTATTTACAGTAATTTGAAAAAACAAAAACAAAAACAAGAATTCAGTAATTCGGTATTTAAGTTTGTCACCAAATTATAGCGAATGATTTACTGTACAGCGTTAGTAGAGAACAAATTACTTTTACCACGTAGTTGTATATTGTTTTGTATACCTGCACTATGCATATGACAATGAACGGGAAATATTACATGCTAAGATAATTATGATAGTTTATGCTCATATGTAATCTACTTATACTGAGGAGAATATCGGGAGACTATACCAGGCTATACTGAAGGGAATATCAGGGGACTATTCCAGGCTATACTGAAGGGAATATCAGGGGACTATACCAGGCTGAAGGGAACTATACCAGGCTATACTGAAGGGAATATCTATACCAGGCTATACTGAAGGGAATATCTATACTGAGGGGGATATCAGGGGACTATACCAGGCTATACTGAAGGGAATATCAAGGGGACTATACCAGGCTATACTGAGGGGAATATCAGGGGACTATACCAGGCTATACTGAGGGGGATATCAGGGGACTATACCAGGCTATACTGAGGGGAATATCAGGGGACTATACCAGGCTATACTGAGGGGAATATCAGGGGACTATACCAGGCTATACTAAGAAGTATGTTGTGATAACGCTGACGAAGTCCTTCCGGCAGGCTCAGTACTGCACCAGTCGGAGAGAGGACAGAAGCGCCTCTTATATAGCCACTGGAGAGCGCCGTGGGGAGAGTCCAAATCCTCGGCCATCGTCATCCCAGATGCCTGTGGCTTCGTCAGTCCACGCAAACATCTACACCTCCCGGGAGAGACTTCAGAGACTTGACAACTCCTCGGAGAGTGATGACACAACCGCTAGGAACGGTGTTGGTAAGTTGACGGAACACGAGCTGGGGGACTGGTTCAAGTGATGAGACTTGTAATGTTTGTTTTGATATTATATGGTAAAAATAATGTTTGTTTTGATATCATTGTAAAAATAATGTTTGTTTTAATATTATATGGTAAAAATAATGTTTATTTTGATATCATTGTAAAAATAATGTTTGTTTTAATATTATATGGTAAAAATAATGTTGGTTTTGATTTCATTGTAAAAATAATGTTTGTTTTGATACTTTACATTGTAAAAATAATGTTTGTTTTGATACTTTACATTAAAACCCGACAATCTAATCTGTCTCTGGCATTTATACTGTACAATGGTATATCTCGGATTTCATACATTTGTAGCCTATATGTACACAACACAACTCTTTTTAAACAAGGAGTCGAATTAAATATAGAGAATCTGTTTTAACCCCTGACCGAAAACGTTTGAGCGGGCATTTTATTTCTTTCAATCTTTTAATGTATAGGATAGATGACGTTCTTCACAACTAAAATTTCACTGGGGTTTGGTGTTGATGTCGATTGTAAAGGAATTAGAAGAACCAGTCTATTTGCAGCTTTTGTTTTCAGTAGTGACTATTATGATTTAATTTACAGGATTTACTATGTTATTGTTTACTATTGTTATTTTTGTTGTAATTTTCCCCCGTGTTATAGGAGAGGCACGGAGCTGGCGGTGCCCCGGGGAGGAACAGCACCAGGGGAAGGAGGCGATCAATGTAGTGATAGCGCTTCCAGTCGACACAGTCTTCGATCTGCTCTTCGTCCAGGAACAGTTTATGCTTGATATTTACAGTGTCAGGAAGACTTATGGTGAGCTCACTTTTTTTTACTCGTGTGATCGAAGTTTCTTGCCTTTCCTCCGTTGAGAGAGAGAGAGAGAGAGAGAGAGAGAGAGAGATAAAATTGTTCTTCACAAGTATTTTAAATATGAATAAGAGAGGACACTAAACAGGTCTTCAGAAAAAATTTAACACGATTAAGTGGTCTCTGACAACAGAAGGGTATCACCTATAAGTTTGCATAAAATATTTGTGTCAGCTGATATGTTTTGACTGTTTACCTCCGGGTTAGATTAACTTATCCGACGCCACTGTCCACTGTACGTCTGGCAATATATAATTTCACTCATTCTCTCACCCGCCCTTTAAATATTATGTTAAAATTTATCAAAAATATACTTAATTTTTGCTGGCTGTTCTGTATTGACACTCTGTTTGTCTTTAGTGATTAGGTGATATTTTCTTTTTTTCTTTAATTTATGTACAGTATGTGTGTGTGTGTGTGTGGTGTAATGGTCAGCATGCTCACCTCCCAAGCTAGTGGACCCGGGTTCTATACCCGGGCAAGGTGAAAATCTCTGGCAAGTTTGTTACGCCATTTGCCTCTGTCTACCCAGCAGTAATTGAGGACCTGGATGTTAATTGATTTGCGGATCGTGTTCCGGGGTAATGGTTTACCAGTGCAGTTGGCGAGTTGTCCGGTCTTCTCGGACTATTCCTTGACACTAGGTCAAGTTTCTACACCTTAAACAAATTCACGTTTAGGTAGCCTTTGGGCCGGCCATTCCCGTTACACGAAGGTCAACCATAATTATTATGGATATATGTATTACAATTATGTTTATTTTTCTTCATTTATGGACAACAATTAATATAATCACCGTTTCGTTTATTACAATGATTACGCCAAGGAATTATTTTTGTATTTTCTAATGTTGTTTAGCGTTACATCTTTAACTTATTTAAGAAAGCGAAACAGCGATTTGTCAAGAATTTCTGTTTGCACCGTCACGTCGTTTAGGATTCGTTCGCTTTGTTGTTCCTGCTGACTCGGGGAAGTTATAGTACGGTATAATGTTTTCTGGTAAATGTTATATAAATTTACGTAATTGCAGACCTTTTTTTTTTTTACCTATTCACCAGAAATTTTGATCGACCTACGGTATATAACTTTTCAGTGTAGATGTTTAATGTTTATCTATCCCTCCCTCTCTCTATCCCTCCCTCTCACTCCTTATCCAACCATCCCTTTCTCCATCTCTCCATCCATCCTTCCATCCACTACCGCAGACATTGTCATCCCGCCGTGGCAGGACATGGAGGAAGGACAGAAGAGCCGCCAGTTGACCTTCACTATGACTCTTCCCTCCTCCAACCTCGTCGCCTCCAAGGTCTCCTACGTCACTGAAAAACAGGTAATGAGCCATGACAACCACGTCCTTTGAATACACGTCTCTAATCCTCATAACCACGACTTTTGACCTTAACTGTTACTTTCATTACTAAATCCTTAACCTAACAAGTCTAGTTGATCTATTTCACTCTCTGATACAATATGTCCACTCATCAGCTTAATTAGCAACACTGAACAGGGTAATTAGCAACATTGAACAGGTTAATTAGCATAACTGAGTAGGTTAATTAGCAACATTGAACAGGTTAATTAGCAACATTGAACAGGTTAATTAGCAACAGGGAACAGGTTAATTAGCAACACTGAACAGGTATGCAGTTACCAGCCCCAGCATTTAACACTTCCCTGCCCATGGTGTTTGTTACAGGTAATCCAGTCACAGACACAGCCAGGCCTGGTATACGTGGTAGAGACGGAGACGGTCAACAGCGGGATACCTTACGCTGACGCCTTCTACATCGCCACCCACTACTGCATCATGAAGGAGGATGAGATCAAGACCCGCCTTGTTACTTGGGTGTGCATCAAGTACAAGAAGACAATTTGGGGTTTTCTGAAGGGTCAGTGTCGATTTTTTTTTGGGGGGTTTCCGTGTTTATTTTCTTGTAAAGTGTTTTGTTATTGTTTTTTGTTTGTTTAGTTTTATTGTAAAGTGTTTTTTATTGTTTGTTTTTTGTTTAGTTTTGTTTATATTTTATTGTGTTTTTTATTGTTTTTTGGTTTAGTTTCATTGTAAAGTGTTGTTTGTGTTTAATTTCATTGTATGTTTAGTGTTTCTTTGTTCATTTTCCTTAAAAAGTGTACTTATTGTATATATCTTTAAGCTGAGGAAGCTGTTGGCTCTTGGTTATTAAAGCTTAGTAGCGTATTTGGAAGTACCTGTACTTTATTAAGCTTCGATTTGTAGGTTTGAAAAAAAAAAAGTTTTATACTCTCCTTTTTTCTTTCCCTCGTCAGCGTAGGTTTGATAGAGAAGAACACTTTTATGGGGGTGGAGGGACTGTTTGCCGAGATATCACAGCAACTAACGAAAGAGGCGGAGAAGAGGGCCCCACCGGCTATGGGTATGAGGCACCGACGAAGGGGCCAAACAGGTGGCGAGAAGACCAGATCCAACACGAATTTACATAAAACAGGTGAGAGACAGAATTGGATTTCCTGAGGATTAGGAACCTCTCCATGTACCTTACTTCACCTGATGATTACATACCTATAATGTTTAACTAATTTAATAGTAGCTAACCTCATCTAACTAAACCTAATATAACACAACGTACAGCTGGGCTCATTGTGGTGTTTACGCTCAGCTGGTGTTTACGCTCAGCTGGTGTTTACGTTTAGCTGGTGTTTACACTCAGCTGGTGCTTACGTTCAGCTGGTGTTTACGCTCAGCTGGTGTTTACGCTCAGCTGGTGTTTACGTTCAGCTGGTGTTAACGCTCAGCTGGTGTTTACGTTCAGCTGGTGTTAACGCTCAGCTGGTGTTAACGCTCAGTTGGTGTTAACGCTCAGCTAGTGTTTACGCTCAGCTGGTGTTTACGCTCAGCTGGTGTTAACGCTCAGCTGGTGTTGACGCTCAGCTGGTGTTGACGCTCAGCTGGTGTTAACGCTCAGCTGGTGTTGACGCTCAGCTGGTGTTTATGCTCAGCTAGTGTTTACGCTCAGCTGGTGTTTACGCTCAGCTGGTGTTAACGCTCAGCTGGTGTTGACGCTCAGCTGGTGTTAACGCTCAGCTGGTGTTAACGCTCAGCTGGTGTTGACGCTCAGCTGGTGTTTATGCTCAGCTGGTGTATCTAAATCCTAATTAATCTTGGCACAGGTCCGACACCACCTCCTCCAGAGCATAGCAGGAACTGTAGCTGGGCTGTGGTCATGGTGTTGACGGCCCTAGTGGCTCTGGGAATGGGCAACCTCATCCTGTTTGCCAGAGTGAGGTGGCTGGAACACCATTCTATCCTGGGCTCACCTCTCTACTCCACACCTGCCACTAAGTAAGGGGAATTTAGATAAACTGCCACTGCCCTTCCCCTTTTGAGTGGTTACATATCTTTCTCTATCTTGTGTGTGTGTCTGTGTCAGTTAAGAGTACAATATTGAGATCTAGAAATACATGTAAATATTGAAAGAGTAGGCCAATACGAGGTACAGGATGATAATAGTGGTTTAGTTTTAGTTTAACAAATTTATTGGCAGAGCTTGTAGTACAGTTGCCTATTCTGAGTAATTCAGTCAGGTCTTGACACTGAGGGTGGTATCACTTCTCCACGCAGGACAGAGGTTCATACACAAAGAGATGCATCATATTCATTAACAGCTATAAATGTATAGAGGTCAGATTCATATGGGTAATGTCACTGTTCACTGCCATGCAGGACAGAGGTTCGTACACAAAGAGATGCATCATATTCATTGACAGTACATATACATATATGTAAACACACACACACACATATACATATATACATACACATATACATGTACATATATATATATACACACACACACACACATACATACATATACGTCGGTCAGAGTCATGTGGGTAATGTCACTTTTCACTGCCATACAGGGCAGAGGTTCGTACACAAAGAATGCATCATATTCATTGACACTATATATAGGTCAGATTCATGTGGGTCATGCCACTGTTCACTGCCACGCAGGACAGAGGTTCGTACACAAAGAAGGAAATTGTTGAGAAAGAGAGTGAGAGTGAGTTACTTTAGGTATATAGATCACTGTTAAGGCAGGAACTTGGTAAACTGTCTAAAAAACTTAAATATTAATGAATTTCTCAAGTGCAGTTCATCTCCACAACATAATATATGTAACTATTCTGTAACTAGTAAAGTAAAATGGTAATCACGATTAATTTCATGACAGATATTTATGTTCACTTGTGTTCCTTTGAGGTACTTGAGCGTGACTGGGTCGTGGGAGGCGGTGGCGAGGATCCTGCAGCGTCAGGAGGGGCTACACGTCAACCAGATGAATCACTGGAAAGCCAAGCTTCGGGAGTCCTCGCACACCCTTCAACAGGTGGGTGCTGCATAAAGTGACTTGAAATTTCCTTTTAGTCTGTAATTTGGTCTGTGCTGCTGGCAGAAGTCTTACCATATCCATCAACTCACAGGTACAACAATCACTAGAGACTTTATTAAAGACGATCCCGGAACACGAGGAGCTCCTGAAGTTGGCCTTACTACAGGAGAGCGCCGATGTAGAGACCGGGTGGTTGGAGGCCGAGGCGAGACTTGAACAGCAGCTACAAGACCTGGAAGGAAGACACACCCAGTCACAGAACACACTCGAGGACAACCAGTAGGATCTACTTCCAGATCTGCTACAGAGCGACAACCACCTTCAGGAAAATGGCAACGGTCTTTCCTCGAGTCACACGACAGTAAATCATGACGAAGAGTGAACAAAATGTCAGTATATTTAATGAAGACAAAACGCCAGTCGTAATCATGGCTGCTTGCTTGTAAAAACACTCACTGAGAACACAAGAGATTGCAGACTGGGGAAGACTAGACCGGCTACAAGTATGTCTTAAGGCAGTTACTAACTAGCTCTCAGGTTCCTGCCCATGTCTTTCCATCCGTCATCGACGCGTCACTTTTATTTTGGTACGCACTTCTTGAACTTAATTCTTACTAACACCAACAAAGATTTATACCTTTCATGATTCTTAGATGCTGAATGATTAGTATAATTACCAACCTTGCTACGCTACTTAAATACCTTAATAAACTTAGTTGTTGAAGTACAGTAATAACAGTAGAAAGTCATATCTTGTCCTGGTAGTTCTTGGTATTTGATTAGACAATATGACACAACGGACGAGGAATTTTGACAACTCTACCGAGACAACAGGAGTCGCATTGTTCATTTTGAAATTCATCGGACCTCTCCTTAAAGGTATTTTTTGGAGCGAGTACACCTTGTCTTACGAAACGAAAATGGAAGTATTCTTCCATGTGTTCAACCTAAGTCATTATTATTTTACTTTCGTTATTGACAAAGTGTTATAGTGTAGTGCTGTCTGTCTATAAGGCATCATCATCTCATTATACAGTGTGTGATGGATTCTTTCAACCCTTTCGCTGCGTTTCCCGCACTTACCATTGTATTCTGGCTGCCACCGGACGATTTTGTTCAGCTTAGGGTAACCTCCCTCTGCCAAAGGGTGAAAACACTGTACAGTACACATCATCATTACCACCTGACCACATACACGTGTCTTATAAGTCTTATCAAAACTTTTTACCAGAGATGTGGAGTAATATACGCTAACTCAATGTAGGGGCTTAATTTTTTGGAGTTAATTTATTGAGCGTTGTAAACACCCGCCCTGCTGTTCTAAGCCTCGTCCTATAATACAAAACCAGGTATTTGTTGCCTCATAAAACAGTACTCGGGGATTTCATAGGATAGGCCTATTGGTGATGATTTACACATACACACTCACATTTGCACAAATGTTAAATTATACAAAAGTTTCTGTATGATACAATTAAACCTGACAAGAAGACACAGGTGTTGAGTGTGTTACTTTGTCCTACAGGTTGTTAATGAGTTGTTTAATAGGTTAATGAGGATTTTAAGTTGCATTAAACGGTATCTGTGCCATCGAGGTGTTTACTGTTATGTGAATTCATTCATTTCATACAATAAATGATTTGTTTACTGCTCACACGATCTAATATTTACATTTACCCAAATACCAGGCACTGATTATTAACGACCAGGTGCTGTGTCTATTAACGACCAGGTGCTGTGTCTATTAACGACCAGGCACTGTGATTATTAACGACCAGGCACTGATTATTAACGACCAGGTACTGTGTCTATTAACGACCAGGTGCTGTGTCTATTAACGACTGGGTACTGTGTCTATTGACTATCAGAATTATTTTTATTACTATTTTACACATGAAAAAGCACGAATGTTTTGTACCTACAGCAACCCTCGTGATAGGGGGTGACTCACTGCAGGTTCATGAGTCATTGAACAGTCCTGCATGGCTATCCTGAGTTTATCTGTTAATCCTTTTTGGATATACCCATTACCCTTCCCTTCCCCCTGATATCGTTAGGCTCCAATAAGGGGACATATAAGGCGGTACCTCGAGGTGAAAAGGGTTTTTATAACAGCCATAATTCTCCTGTAAACACTAAACACGCCAAGGCGACTGCTCCGTTATGTGATTCGGAGTGAACCGACTCTGTTCACGTCAACGGCATCTGCTTCAGTTGGTAGCTGGTACTGCTAGCGGTTGGTCTTGCTGGTCGCGAGGACCGTCGCCTTTGCTCTCGTCGGCATGTGGTCCACAGAAAGTAAGTATCGCGTCTTGTGTCATACTTCGGGGACCTGTTAGCCGGATATGTCGGAGGTCTGCGACTACGTGTCAGGCAACAGAGCGATTTTATTTATGCACTTTATTTTTTATTGCATATATCGTCTTGTAATGTTTGTTTACATATGTTGCCAACTTGCGTACACATAGTGTTGTTGGCTGCCTCGGCTCTTGTGTTGAATCAGCTGGTACAGGTACACAGAATGGCCAGGAGTCGAGTGTAGGGTTACGAACCTACACTAGGTTTAGCAGACCTGCTTATTGCATACATTGTTATCATTCGTAATCCCCATTTTCACTAAACTCTGCAGTACTTCGCCCGCCAGTCGAATTCTTAATATAAATCAGATTACCCGATAAAGCAGCTCGCCAGCTCCACGCCTGTTTGGCCTATTGAGATACAAGCTTTATCTGTGGCAAGTAGCTACAGCACAAACTCTTACTGTGGGTAAACAAACCGCTGACTGACAACTCCTCAGTCTCCCATAGACTACAAGTCAATGTGTTATGTATCTTTGAACACACATACACAATGTATCAATTATGGCTTATATGTAACTTATATGAATAACTTAATATAATCGTTAGAAAGAAAATATATGAAAAACTTGTAATATTAAAGGAGGTGTCGGAGGGGGGGGGGTGGTTAACGCTCTGCTGGTAGTGTCAGTGTGGTCACGTGCCTTACCTGGGTTGGCTGTTGTACTCCTGGAGGTATATTGTATCTTCATGGTTGTACTGTACTCACAAGTAGCTGAGGTGACAGAGGAGACGCCCTTCAGGATGCCAGGCCGAGGTTGACCGTGTACTGTGGTACTTTTCTTATTTATAACTGGAATAATAATGGATCATTTAGCGATTTAACAAGAAGTGATGAATGAGGTGTGTTGTACTTCGTGCAAGCTTGTCCTATTTTGATATCGAAAAAAATCAGAGTTTATAACATTTTAATTTTTCAACGAATTAAGCATCTGACAGCTTTGTCGCCTATTCTTGGTCAAGTTGCCTTATTGTTCACCTTTGTTGTTTAACTGCACTGTCTCGGCACGCAGGGAACTCTATACTCCTACGGCCTACCTGCACCGTTTACCAACATTTTCTATATTCACGCTGAACTGTATAACTGCATAGTTTATACATATGCTTATCCAATTATAAACCTGTATGACAACTTTACTGAATAAATATTATTATTATTATAACGTGTCTCGTTTGGTCACCATACTCAGTTAAGAGTGGAAGTGCTTAGTGTAGCTCTTGTTTTCACAGAAAACGGTATCTTAGTCACGGTTGGAGGGCAGACATTCGCAATGAAAAAAATGGATTATTTTATTTTACGGGATTCGCAGGTCACTTGCAAAGACGTTTCCTTCATGTTTATGGGTCCCAGGTTTGGGGTAATCTTATATCCTTTAGGGTGACTGTAACCAGTAAACTGCAGTTTTTGATAGTTACTTTTTTTAATGTTTACATTTATACTGGACAACTAGATGGTCTCCCACCTAGAGGGCCAGTGAGGACCGTCTTTCATGGGTCCAGTGTTCGTACATGAGAAGACCGGGGAGCTTGGAGAAAACCTACAATGTTCGGTAGTCGCAGAGATTTATAGTGTAATGAGGACGAAACACTCAGTCGGGACATATTATTTGTACACTTAAACTGTTCCCACGCATTTAACACACACGTATAGATCATTTTGTGAACTTATATAGTGGTGTTTGGCGGCCGAGTTAGGTACCCATATACTGTACAGCTTGGTGGACTGGGAGTACCTCGAGATCGAACCAATGATACTTACAGTAGACAAGAGGCGAACGCTGCATCCACTAGTCCGCCTCTCCCTTTTATACAGTAGACCATCCTATAAGCAAGAACATTTTAAGGTGTGTTTCTGGGCCATATTTTCAACTCGGGTCTTTACCTTATGTGCATAACGTATTGTTTATGTATTTTAACTAATATCACATTTAACTCGGTCTAGGACAAGCAATCTTAAATTGTTATCTATATTCATTTTAATAATTTTTGTGAAATGGGATTACCTGAAGATAAGATACCCCACGTTATTTCACCTTAAGATTAACTACACTAATGCGACCTGCGAGTTTAGATTTAGCTAAGTTAGGTTAAATTTGGTTATCTTAGCATTTTGGTGGTCAGTCTAAGGGTGAAATCTTAAGGTGATCCGTGAAATATGTATTCAACAGAAGACGTGACTAATAATAATAATATCTCGGTTTTAAGTGTAACATGTTCTCTATTAACTGAGGTCATGACTTATATGTTAGATTGTTGATCAAAATGGTTAAGGAAATAATAAAACTTAACCCATCAATTGTCCGATTCATTTTACTATGGTATAATAAACACTGAGGTGAATATACTGGATCACATACAGATAATAAAGCATAGAACACAATGTGGTATCGAAGGATGATTTACTCCAAGTATCTCACCCTCCCTGTAGTAGGTACTGGCATGACCCACGCTACTTGTGCTGGTCTTGTAACCCAGCACAAGGTCCCTGATGCTTCGTGCCACTGTGTACAGGAGGTCTTGGTGGTGATGGTGATGTCAACGCTGTATGGGAGTCCCTGAGCCGCCATTTCTTCTATTGAGGGCAATTTCTTTTTGATGTCATCCCTCTTGGACGCGTCCCACCTGATGATCTTGAGTTTAATCTGAGTTTTGATATCCAGTTTAGACAGGTTTGGTTAGCTTAGTTTAGGATAGATTATGATATGCTAGTTTAGGTTTAATCTAAATACAACTAATTGACACTTGCCACCCACGTTCTCAATCCCCAACGCTTTAAATTGTAGAGATGTTCAGTCCGCAGTGCCGGATTTAGACCTGTGGAGGCCCATGGGCAGCCTCTTTGTGGAGGCCCCCCTCATTATAACTACCCAAGAGGGTGGGGTGGCGAGTGAAGCGAGCCTAAACATCTGGGAGTTCCGGGGGGCGCTGTAAGCCCCCGGGGAAAATTTTGAAATTTGAACACTTCTTTGGAGAATTTTGAAGCCATATGCAGTTATATTGAGGAAATTGGAACATTGAGAAATTTTTAATTAACTGTATATTTATTGATAGTGTACAAATTCCCAACACACACACACAAAAGTGAGACATGACTGGAGTCATTCATGTGGTTTCAAGTCGACCAGCCCTGATATGTGGAGGCCCCCAGATTGTGGAGGCCCCTGGGCAGCTGCCCACTTTGCCCACTCCTGAATCCGGCCCTGGGTCAGTGGATGAAATGACTATAGGGAGGGAATAAACGTTGTCTCTTAAATATATAAATAAGTGGGAAATAGGCTAAAATATATGATACTTATACACTATATATACTGGCCCTTCTTTGATTCGTAAATACTGGTTCTATTAGGGAGGTGAAAAGTGCTAGATTGTTTATATATTTTAGGCGTGTTGTTTAGCCTACAGTATACCCTAATTCCCCTGCCCATCCAAGATCTTTTTTAGCATAAATTTAAACGGTCCTCCTCGCCTTGTGTACATTAAGAAGTCTTGAAGATAACATGACTACAAGCCTCCCTTTCCCAGCTTATTCCACCTGATGATTAAACACACAAACACCACCTGAGGGGGTTAGGTTAAAGTAAGTTTAAGTTAGGTTAGACAAGGTTAAGCTAGCGTTAGTATATTTAATCTTAAGAGTGGAATAAGCGGAGTTGGTTAATCTTCACGTGATCCGATTTGCCGAGATGAGCGAGAAATAGGAACCCTATCGTGATGTACGGTAAATCTTCCCGCAGTTGATTACGTCCACACTTAACGGGAGGAGGAGGGGAAGGGGAGGTCTAGTCCTCAGGGTCTAGAGTACAAGGCCACCGGAACTCTTGCCCAAACTCGTGTATCCACAAGTTGGCAACTGAAAAACAAAAACAACCAGATTAAGACACAAATAAACGACAATTGGAAAAAAAATTAGATCTGAGATTTCAAGTGTAGAATTTAGGAGTAAAAAGAATGGCAGACTGAGAATTATATTTATTGATGACTATGAAATTTGATACTATAAGGCAAATTTTTATTGTTGTTGTTGTTATTATTATTATTATTATTATTATTATTATTATTATTATTATTATTATTATTATTATTATTATTATTATTATTATTATTATTATTATTATTTTTACTATTATTATTTTTACTATTATTATTTTTACTATTATTGTTATAATATTTTCGCCCCCAGGCCCTAATGTGGGTCAGTGACCTGTGCCCGGGTGGGCCAATCTCCGTAAAAAAAAAAGATGTAACCAGTGTCTTAAAAACCTTGGCGGTACTTACTCCACTTCTCGCCAAGCAGGACGGGGCAGGCGGCGTGGAGTGTGCGGTAGTCGCCTTGGCCACTACGCTTGATGTTGAACCAGAAGAGTGCTGAACCTCGTCTGGCTGGCACCTCCACACCCAACATGGGGAATACTGTCGACCCTCCAGCCTCTACGTCGTTCAGCTGTATCCATAGTAAGTAGTTAATGAATATCTCCTCTAATATACAAGTAAATCTTATAGTCTGATAATTGGATCACATGAATATTAGCCATACTAGTTTATTTTCACCTAATGATTTAACACCCTCGTACTACCTGGGGGTTGATTACTGTAAGTCAGGTTAAGTTGGATTAGATTAAGTTAAGTTGGGGGTTAAGTTAGGGGAGAATAAGTTGGTTAGGATGGGATAGTTTAGGATAGGTTAATTAGGTTAGCTTAACGTTAAGGTATTTAATCATCAGGTAAAATAAGCTGGGGGAGGGGGGCTAATTTTAACATAATTCAATACGTTCTCTTAGTTGTCAGACACGAGGAAGAGAATTAACTATTTCTAATGCAAGACGCCAAACTATTGCTGTGTACTTGTGTAGAAAGGTATGGTAGGTTAGGTTAGGTTTAAGTTGGGTTAGGTTTACGTTGTCTTGGGTTGAGTTTAAGTTGTGTTGGGTTAGGTTAGGTTAGGTTTAAGCTGTGTTAGGTTTAATACTCACGTAGAACAGTATAGTAGCCAGACGATCTCCCTGATGTGGCTCTTTGTCCAGGGATTTCTGAAATAGTATACAAGTACAGGTATATATTTTAAGTATACATTAGGTATATTTTAGTATACATTAGGTATATTTTAGTATACATTAGGTATATTTTAGTATACATTAGGGTATACATTAGTATACATTAGGTATATTTTAGTATACATTAGGTATATTTTAAGGATACATTAGGTATATTTTAGTATACATTAGGTATATTTTAGTATACATTAGTTATATTTACGGTATACAGATTTTAATACTGTTAGAAAATTATACAGAGGGTAATCGAAAGTTATTGAAGATTATCCAGAAATGCTACCTGAAGGGATTAGATTAATGTAGGTTAGGTTAAGTTAAGTTTCATAATGTTAGATTAAGTCAGGTTAGATTATCATTAGATTAAGTTAGAATAAGTTAAGTTAGGTTAGGTATGATTAATCTAGGTAAGTTTAAATTAGATTGTTAGGTTGGCATAAGTTTAAGTTACGTTCGTGTAGTGTAAAGTTAGATTAGGTTAAGTTTGGTTAGGTTAGTATTAATTTAAATCGGGTTAGGCTGGCATTCGTTTAGGTTAGCATTAGGTTAAGTTAGATAAGCTAAGATTAGGTTGTGTGATTAAAGTCGGTTGGCATTAGTTAGGTTAAGTTATGGTAGTAAATCTTCAAGAGAAAAATATAGGGGTGTTTGTTGTTTAATCTTCAGGTGCAATCCAAGACATTTAACACCAACACACGTTCTGTAAGTCGAAGAAATCCACATGAGCGTCGTAATGGCCGCCGATGCCGTAGTTAAGGACGTGAAAATCCTCTGAGGTGCGCGTGGTTAGGCTCGTCATGTCCTCAATTCTCTGTAGTATCTTGTCCACTGTCTTATCGTCTCCACGCCTTACCCACGCTCTGTAAGAGACATTGTTGTTAACCCACGCCCTGAGGTAGTGTTGTTAACCCACGCCCTGAGGTAGTGTTGTTAACCCACGCCCTGAGGTAGTGTTGTTAACCCACGCCCTGAGGTAGTGTTGTTAACCCACGCCCTGAGGTAGTGTTGTTAACCCACGCCCTGAGGTAGTGTTGTTAACCCACGCCCAGTAGTGGTGTTGTTCACTCATGCCCTGGGAGAAGTAACAGTTAACACGGGGCTTGATGGTCTTTAATGAAGGACCTTGGCTGAGTACTACACCAAGACCACCCTGAGAACGTTGAAGGAGACGTGACAATATTTATTAGGATTAAAAATTCATAGGTCTGGAGTCATGGGAACTGCAGGTTTACTTATGATAATTTTCAATGAAAATATGTAGTCTCAGATTCTAATGTGTTCAGATCACGTATTATACGGGTCCAGGGGAGCCAAGTAGTCACTGCCCGTCTCTCTCTAACTATAATTAAATGAATTCTTTAAAATTTTGAAAAAAAAAGGTTATTCCATGCCACTTAAACTTAGTTTTTTTACTTGATGCATGTTGGGTGACTGATCAAAGCTTGTGTTTTTCAAATCTGGCCTTTGCATAGTGATTGTATTTTTTTAGATGGTGAAAGAGTATAAATTATTGCTAAATCATCCTCATTAATAGTATATTAAAAGGTTCTATAAAGGGCTAAAAATGCTTAAAACTTACTAAAACCAACAATATCATTAAACCCCCCAAAATATAGTTTTTTGGTTTAAAAAAATGAGAGGTTTTTACCAACCTTGCAATAAAGGGATCCTGTGAACATTGGGTAACCCTCTCAGTTTATTCCACGTGATGATTAAACACACTAACGCTAAATGGGGGTTAAGGTAGGTTAGGCTAGGTTAGCGTTATGGTGTTTCATCATCAGGTGAAATAAGCTAGGATGCCCAAATCTTCGCGTGACCCCAATAAAGATTTTTACAGAAAATATCTTCGAAGTATTTTCATCTCACATTGAGACTCTTTACGTATTTTATCAGTGGTGATCAGAAATTGGCGACTGGCTAAGTCAAACTACTCTTCAGAGAACATCCTCACTCGAAAAAATAATCATTGTATTTGAACACCGATTGCTTTAAAACACACTCCAGCAACATCCTCACTCGTCAGAAACATCCATCACGATATCAAGGGCGTTTCAATGTTGATATCTTCCCACTGTATAACTCACGCTTTCCCTATCCTGGCGAGGGACTTGCGAGCCTCGTGTGTGGTGAAGGAGTGGACCATGGTGGTGGTGAGGCGAGGCGTGGCGATCTCCCTCACCATGTCCGTCTCTGCGTCAGACAGCACGTCGTGGTAGACAACGATGACCGGATCGGGCCACCGTAGCTCCACCTTGAAGGGCATTAGTCGACGGTAGCCGCTGTTCCCGTGCACGTAGCCACACTTAAGGCCCCTGTACGCCTCGGGCACCTAGTTACAGCACAAGGGACCTGGTGTAAGTTATCCATGATTTGTGATAAGTAGAGATCAAAATAAAGGTGTAATATGGATGTATAGTTGTGTGGGAATTTTAGGATCACGGGAAGATTTTGTCCTCCTATGGCTTATTTCACATGATGATTTAATACCCTAACGCTAACTTGACCTTCCCCCCCCCCCCGGGTAGGGTAAGGGTGTTTAATCATCAGGTCAAATAGGCTGGGGGTTAATCTTCAGGTAATCCCGGTTTATTATGGTACGGTGAGGGAAGGTGAGTAGTTTAGTAAAGCTTTGTTTGGTAAGCTTAATCGTTCACTCTAGTGTGGTTAGGAAACAGTTCCAAAAAGGAAAGTGGTTCTCATACAGTAAGTGTGTGTGTGTGTAATAATAATAATAATAATAATGATAATAATGTGTGTGCAATTTAATATTGAAATCCCTAATGACTGACCACTATTTATGTTATCCACAAAGGTTTAAAAACTTAATTTGGAAACTACCCAAGAACATTTATTTTGCTTATAACAAATGAATCTTACGTTACAGGATGAAGGCGTCCACACAAATGGCCTAACCTGGACTTGGTCTCCTCGACACAGACGCTGGTAGTAGTTGTCCAGTTTATCCAGTTGGCCAAACTCCTTGTCGTCAGCGTAAATCTGTTTCTGGAAGGAAGTTGGGATGCCCAGACCAGAGAACTTTTGCAAGACCTTCTCGTCAGAGCTCTTGGCCAACTTCGTCACCAGGTCACGCTGTCAAGGTAAATTTACTTATGTTGAACCTTTTGTATTTTGCTTTCCTGGATCCACACAGTGCACTGGTTGGAGGATTGATGTGTGTCTGGTGTGTTTGTCAAGATACTGGCACCAGCTACCTGTTGTGTGTGTGTTTGACTTACATGGTATTACATAACTGTAGTTTGAGTTACCAGGAGTATAATTATGTGACTGATATGGTAACATGCACACCTATAGTTTGTGTGGTCAGGTGTATGAGCGAGCATCATCATTATTAACAGGTGTGTAACAAGCCTGAACCACCATAACATATGTATCATGTTTATTTCATACGTGTAAATCGACAGGTGTGTAAGAAATCCTAAACACACTACACACGTGTCTATGCTTCACATGTGTACTGACCATAAGGACCCGTTGATGCTGTTGCTTGGTTAACTTGTCGATCCTGAGCTGGTCGTGGTGTGTAAGAGGCTGCCTCGCCTTCATCATCTCCAGCCCCTTCCTGTACCACTGTTTACTCAGCTCAAATTCCAGGTTATTGAAGCTCTGTTGCCCCAGTCTCAAACAGTCGTCCGCTGCAACACACGTGAGTCGAGGGAGATACATGTGCAGGAGGATACATATAAGAGGGATACATACATACATGGGTAGATAGATAGGTAGATAGATAGATAGACTGATACATGAGTTAGCTAATAAATAGATTAATATAGGTGGACTTATTTATTCAGTAAAATCACCCAACGAATTTATATTGATTCAGTATATATACATTGACAGTACAAATATACAGACAATGATTAAATACTGAGTTGTTTTGACCAATGGTAGCCCAAGATAGCCAACAATAGCTGTTTTCTTTGATTATAATTACAAGTATTTGATTTTCTTAAGTCGTATTTTCTTTAATTAATTAATATTTGATGTTCTTGTGAAATACCCAATATTGTTTTTACGCTTATGTAAGTACTTAATTAATTTTCTAGTTCATCATTTTGCCTTTTTTTTTTAATTTATAAACCCCTTGAGCGTTATTTTGTTCACCCTAAAACTAGGAACGCGTAACTACCTTCTCCTTCTTTTTCTCTCTCCTCCTCCCTTCCCGTTCCCTCCCTTCCCGTTCCTTCCCTTCCCTTCCTTCTTCTTCTCCCCGTCCCCTCCCCTCCCCTTCCTTCCTTTTAGTAAAACAGTACTCACCAGACAGTTCCTGGATGGCCTTCGTGCCTAGGATATCACCTTCCACTAGGTCGTTCATGTTCAGGTCGTAGATGTGTTGGAGGCGCACCAAGGCATAGGCAGCACCGTTCACATCAGCTTCAACTGGTTGGTCTACACTCTCTCTCAGCCACGTGATGTTCTCCCGTACCGCTGAGGACAATACTGGTTCAGGACGTGGCTAGTGAAATATATTATAACTAAGAGGATTGCTTGTTGGGGTCATCTGAAGATTAGACACGACCAGTTTGTTTCACCTTATGACTAAACACCTTTATATTACCTAGGAGCTGAAAAGGTATAAATATCTTCTTAACACAAATCTGAAAAATGCCAAATCGACCCCCCTCATCTGGGAGTCGATTACTCCACATCGTATCCAGTGTTGCAGTGCCAATTTTTAAGTTGCCGGAGCTGTCAAAATAATTTCCATTTCCTGAACCGTGTATGTATATGTATATATATATATATATATATATATATATATATATATATATATATATATATATATATATATATATATATATATATATATATATATATTTGATCTACTAGTAGTCCAATGTGCTTATCCTTTCGATATTGGTCACATCTATAGCTCTTATGCGAGGAAATACATACCTACTTTTGAAAAAGTACTGTTTTTACGTGTTTAGAAAGGCACTTGTTATCAAAGTCTCTCTACAATATTGATAAGTCATAAAATGTATGCTCATCTTTTTTTTCTTCTTTTATCCTCTTCACCACTGATCGGCTCGTTAGCCGCTCGGGCGATCGGTCACGTCTCTGTTACGCACTGTTGGCAAGTACTGGGCATGCACCGGCTCCTGAATGAACCTGAACCTGCTCCAGTGTTGGTCAAGTCTGGTCTTGAAAGAGCTCACACTCGGTGCCGTCACAACACTCTCTGGTAGATTGTTCCAAGAGTTCACAACTCTCACTCCGAAAAAGTTTGCCATCACATTTTTCTGGACTTGCGGCTTCTTCAAGCTTGAGCTGTGACCCTTTGTGGGGCGAGCGTTCGCCAGCTCCAAGTAAGGACACTCGACTGAGTAGTGCCCCCTGAGATGCTTATACACCTCAACTAGGTCCCCCCCCTTGCCCGTCTGTAGTATAAGCTAGGCAAGTTCAGGCGCTCCAATCTGTCAGGGTAGCTGAGGTGCCGAAGTGCAGGCACCAGTCTGGTGGCCCTCATTTGAACATTTTCAACCAACTGACTTCCTAGCATATCTCGGGGACCAGACGGGGTGACAGTACTCCAGATGGGGAAGCACTTCACTCCTGAAGATCGTTACGAGGGACGGACCGTCTAGATATCTGAACGACCTTATAAGACCCAATAATTTATTTGCCCTATTCACTTTCTTCTCCCAATGGCCCGAGAACTTCAGCTCATTGTCAACATACTCACCTAGGTCTTTCTCACATTGTCTGAAATAGTGCAGTTTCTTCATCCCGTTGGGTCATATGATACGCCTCCTTACCGTTGGTACACCCCAGGTGCATCCACTTACACTTCGTGACATTGAATCTCAGCAGCCATTTCTTCGACCATTCTTGGAGCTCACAGAGGTCCTTCTGCAGCTCTTCACAGTCCGCATGGTTCTTGATTTCCCAAAATAACTTGGCGTCATCGGCAAACATTTGTTTGGAGGAGTGTACAACGTCAGGCATGTCATTTATGAAACAAACAAACAAACAAACAAATAGCGGGCCCAATACACTGCCCTGTGGTACCCCGCTTGTACAGGTACAGATGATTTCGTGCCATTAATCACCACACACTACTTGCGGTCATGTAGAAAGTCTTCTATCCACGCTGTACCCATCCAGTTTCATTTTCAGCCTTTAGTGGGGTACCCTGTCGAAAGCCTGGGCAAAATCTAGGTATATATTGGCGATACTGAAGGAGAGATTAATTATATGAGGATATATTCGATTTTGTATATGTATATTAATGCAAAATAAAGTTGATTGCTTGATTGATATAGATTTATAGTAACATGTAGAGCTTACTATAACTTCATGTGTGAAGTGTGGTGGAGTGGATGAAGAGGAATACACTAAGGTGGTAGGGACATGTGCAGAGGATGCATGAAGACAGGCTGAAAAAAAAGTTTGATAGCAAGAGAGAGGGAATGCTGGGAGAAAATAGTTAGTTTGTTGAAGAGAGAGCGGGAAGGGGAGGAAGAGTGTTTGAGAGAGCGGGAAGGGGAGGAAGAGTGTTTGAGAGAGCGGGAAGGGGAGGAAGAGTGTTTGAGAGAGCGGGAAGGGGAGGAAGAGTGTTTGAGAGAGCAAGTGAGGTGTGCAAGGATAAAATGGCCTGGAGACACCTCTGCCATGGCCGCCCCCCTGTTGGGGGAGTTCCCAGGAGGGAACAAAGCGTCGGCGATATTGATTGATTGATTGGTCAAAACAGAGGTGCCGCAGCAGTGCTCCAGTGAGCTCCGGCAGCACTGCTCCCCTGATGGTAACGCTCTGAGGAGCACCACACGAGAAGGTGTCAATACTTTCGAGTTAGCCCGACTGCATACCGAGGCAGACAAGTGCCAACGCCGGAAAGACGCTGCTGCCACCCCTCCCGCACTAGATGTAGCCCTCCAAATGTGTAACATCTGTGAACGACCCTGGCGATCCCGTATCGGCCTCTCTAGTCACCTGAGAGCTCACCAACGAAGATGACATTCTTAATAACTCACATCATTGTATCATACCTGGATGATCGTCATACTCGATTCCGAGTGACAGCAAAGTAGTAGTGGTGTGTGTGTGTTAATGATGTTGTTGTGGGTGTATGTATTTGTGTGTGTTGTTGCTTTGTGCATGTTTGTATTTTAGTTCGTATGTTTTTTCTCGTGTGTGTGTGTGGACTTACTCAAGTATGCTGTGAAAGAAACTTGAGGTACAGTAACCTCATGAGTCTTTCATGCGAGGAGATGACAGTGTTGAAACTCCACACACACACACACACACACACACACACACACACACACACGGGTTCAGGTCGTACAGGTGTTAAATTCAGCTGATGTGTTATGATAGAGAAATTACACTTCCTGGTCGCAAATTCGTATCACCAGAAGATTCGTCTCAGTTTATATCACCTGATGATTAAACACCCTAACGCTAACTGTGGATTAGGATAGGTTAGGTTAACGTTAGGTTAGGTTAACATTAAATTAGCTTAAGATTGCGGTAGTTTAGGTTAGGTTTGGTTCATACAGTCGGTCCTTTAACACACCAGTTGTCAGGTACTGGGTTCTTGAGCTGGATTTTGGGTGTCTGGGCCGGGTCTTTGTACAACCGAGCTCAAATATTCGTATCACAGGACTCTTTTAGGTGAGTTCCCTGGGTACAAATACCCCAAGCTACCTAAGTAAGGGGAGGCACAGGCTTCATGGGGTCTCATTTGGCTACTGGCCAGATCTTCAAGTCCTTCTCTTCTGTCCACTGTTTGGGGGATAAATTAAGATTTTATATATATTAAATAAATAAATATGCGAGGTGTATGACTTTTTCCGGATGGCCGGAGATGAGGTTCGGTACTCGACACTTCCGACACCACAGAGCACAGTTAATATGATACCGGAATGAGTTTAGATTCAATGCTTCACGTCCCCCTCCCAGCCCCCCTCCCCCTCTTCCTCCCAGTCCCCCTCCCAGTCCCTCCCAGTCCCTCCCCAGTCCCCCTCCTCCCAGTCCCCTCCCCCTCCTCCCACGTACACCAGGTGGAATCACCTTTCGGCAACAACCACGATATCGAGACCTGTCACCGGTAATAAGAGCCAAGTGCCAATTACGCTTTTTGTTACTATACCTCTGCATCTCCTCCTCTAACCCCCGGCCCCCTGCTTGCCCAACCCTCCCGTCTCCCCCTGCTCCTCTCCCCTGCTCTCCAAGTTTGCTGAAATCATGAGTTTGTTGACGTCTCCGGCAGTGGTAATATAAACTACAGATAACATATTCTACAGAGTTGGTCTTCCTTAGATATAATTGATTTATTTAGTTGTGTGATTCTTGTGTTTTGGTTTAATAGAGATAAGTGTAGTAGGAATCTATTGCGTGGTCTGATAAAAGGAGGAGGAAGGAAGAAGAAAAGGAGGAAGGAAGAAAAAGAGGAGAGGAGGAAGGAAGAAGAGGAGAGGAAGGAGGAGGAAAGAAGAGGAAGAAGAGAGGAAGCAGAGCAGGAGGAGAGGAAGAAGAGGAGGAGGATGAGAGAAACACCTTTATTTTTAATCTTCCGACACACTAAAATACACATGTACACCTCCAACACACACACACGACTCAACCAAAATGACACCAAAATACACGCCTCCCCCTCCTCCCATTTTGACTATGTACGAGTATACCTTCTTAAGTATACCCTGGGTGTAATTATATTCATATATACATTCAGTACGTTATGTTAACGAAGAGTTGCACCCTTATGTGAGTGTCAAAGTGAGTCGCATTCCAGTGACATATAGAAAGTTCAAGACAAGTGCCAAACAGAACCACAGGAGGCAGTGGCTTCTTTCATTCTATTTTCTTATTTTTTTTCTCCTCTATCATCGTCCTTGTTCTTAATTCTCCATCCGCCACGTCACACTATGCGCTGGGCTTGGCTGGGACGGGCTGGACTAGGGCGGGCTGAGTTGGGCTAGGAAATGAGTGTGCTTGGCTAGGACGGGCCGGATTGAGCAAGGACGGGCTGGCCTTAGGATGTATCCTTGAAATCTCAAGAGCCAACAGATGTTGGCTTCCCTGCCTTGTCTTGCCCGTGGCCATCGGGACTCTCCTCTTTCACCTTTGGTGCTGTCGTCCCTTTGGGAGCTGCACGGTTTAGGCTCCCTCTCAGAAGTGACCCATCGGTGCAAGGTTCGGCCAGTGGTGGGGAAGCCTTTTGAGTTTGGTCTTTGGTATCCCAGGAAGTAAGACACAGATACTTTGGAGTCTCGTTAACTCCAGTTCATCCTGTCAAGTCTTGGACACAAAGGCTGGGAGGTGGGTGCGTTCGTTCTTTATCACTTGCATTATACGAGAAAATGTTGTTGATGAGGTCATACTTATTATGATGCTTCCAGAGTCGTGTTTATGATTTCCATTATCAAGATTATAATATCTACATAGTGATCGACAAGTCCCAGTGCACCTGCAATCACTGAACATGGCCAGTTTCGTCGGTCTCATAAGGAAGTATATAAACGTGTATTGGTTATCTCATAGAGCACCTGGGAACACAAGGTGGACCCAGACGCCAAAAACAATACTTATTATATCTTATAACTGTGTAAATAAACTGTTGAGTGCTTTCGTTGCAATTTTTATCATCTATGTAACGATTGGAGTAAAGAATGAAGGGTTTAATGTTGTGACGAGCCTACGAGGGCATCTGGGAGGACCCGGGAATTCTTGTTTAAATACTGTGCTGCAAACCCTCAACCTTCCTTAACTGGTTTATACCCAGTGTAACCCTGTGTGGAACTACCTGCTACAGTGGTGGGTAGAAAGAGGAGACGAGGTAAGCGAATCATACGGTGTGAGGGTGTGTACAGTACGTGTGACTGTTGATGACCACTACACTTAATGCTTGACACGTACTGACTCAGATCCACCAGTTAATATAATCACCCTCGTCATAGGCATCTCCAGCTGTTATCTTAGTGGTCGGTCACTCACTGAACAAATTCGTAATCTCATAAATATTAGGAACCCATCTCCGCTTATTCCACCTGACTATGAAACACCCTAACGCTAAGTAAATGAGCTGGGGTTAGGTTAGCTGGGGTTAGGTTAAGTTAGATGGGGTTCCTAATCTTCACGAGATTCCAAAACGCATTTATTTCTTAATAAAACATTGATTAGCTGGAATATACACCCATCCAACCCCACCACCCACCCACCCATCCACCCCCACCCACCCACCCACCCATCCACCCCCACCCACCCACCCACCCATCCCCCCACCCCAACCACCCACCCCACCCACCCACCCACACCCCACCCACCACCCCACCCACCCACCCACCACCCACCCACCCCACCCACCACCCCACCCCCACCACCACCCACCACCCACCCCACCCACCACCCACCCACACACCACCCCACCCCACCCACCCCACCACCACCCACCCCCACCCCCACCCACCCCCACCCCACCCACCACCTCCCCACCCACCCCCCACCCCACCCATCCCCACCACCCACCCCACCACACCCACCCCCACCACCCCCCCACCCCCACCCCACCCACACACCCCACCCCACCACACCCACCCTACCCCCACCCCACCCCAATCACACCCACCACCCCCCACCCACCCACCCACCCCACACCCACCCACCCCCACCACCCCACCCACCCACCCCACCCACCCCCTCCTCACACTCCCATCCTCACACGCGCCGCCGTCATCACCACCACCGCCAAAACTACTACATTACTGCCAACAACAACAACCACCACCAGTCAGGAAGTACAGTATACGTGTTGACATACCTTGGAGGGAGGTGTCGTAAAGGGCGTCCTGGACCGTCGTATACTCCTGCGTCAGGCGTCTCAGGAAGTGATAACTGTTGATCGGGTTGTGGACATAATCTGCCTGACCACCCTGCCAGCTGCCTATGTATCTGTGACAACAACACTCGTCACTAGGCAACAACACTCGTCACTAGGGCAACAACACTCGTCACTAGGGCAACTGTACTCGTCACTAGGGCAACACAACACTCGTCACTAGGGCAACACAACACTCGTCACTAGGGCAACACAACACTCGTCACTAGGGCAACACCACTCGTCACCAGGGCAACACAACACTCGTCACCAGGTCACCAGGCAACACAACACTCGTCACTAGGGCAACACAACACTCGTCACTAGGGCAACACAACCTGTCACTCAACACAACACTCGTCACTAGGGCAACACAACACTCGTCACTGGGCAACCAACACTGTCACTAGGGCAACACAACACTCGTCATGGGCAACACAACACTCGTCACTAGGGCAACACAACACTCGTCACTAGGGCAACACAACACTCGTCACTAGGGGGTCAACACAACACTCGTCACTAGGCAACACAACACTCGTCACTAGGCAACACAACACTCGTCACTAACACAAACTAGGGCAACTCGTCACTAGGGCAACACAACACTCGTCACTAGGCAACTGTCAGGGCAACTAGGGCAACGTCACTCGTAACTAGGGCAACTCGTCACTAGGGCACTCGTCACCAGGGCAACTCGTCACCAGGCAACCCACCAGGGCAACTTCACAGGGCAACCCTCGTCACCAGGGCAACTCGTCACCAGGGCAACTCGTCCGTCACCAGGGCAACTCTCGGGGCGTCACCAGGGCAACTCTCGTCACCAGGGCAACCAGCAACACCAGGGCAACTCGTCACCAGGGCAACTCGTCACCAGGGCAACTCGTCACCAGTCAACTCGTCACCAGGGCAACTCGTCACTGGGCAACTCGTAACTCGTCAAGGCAACTGTCATAGGCAACCGCATCACTAGGCACTACAACTACACTCGTCACTAGGGCAACACAACACTCGTCACTAGGGCAACACAACACTCGTCACTAGGGCAACACAACACTCGTCACTAGGGCAACACAACACTCGTCACTAGGGCAATCTCACAGGGCAACTCGTCACTAGGGCAACTCGTCACTAGGGCAACTCGTCACTAGGGCAACTCACTAAGGCAGCACCGTCACTAGGGCAACTACAGGGCAACTCGTCACTACTAGGGCAACTCGTCACTAGGGCAACTCGTCACTAGGGCAACTCGTCACTAGGGCAACTCGTCACTAGGGCAACTCGTCACCAGGGCAACGGAACACTCGTCACTATGGCAACCAAAGATTTGCCTGGATATTCTGTATACCAAGTGTGAAATTATCCCTTTAAATATACAGATAGTTAAGAGATACAAGTTTACATTAATTCAGTTTGTGTATAGACAGTGCAGGTATACAATATACATAGACAGTGCAGGTATACAATATACATAGACAGTGCAGGTATACAATATACATAGACAGTGCAGGTATACAATATACATAATATAAAAGGTGAAAGGTTAAAATGGAGTAATCGATTAGTTCAGAAGTCGTCTTGGGTAATCTATAGGTTGTCACGCGAGTTAATTAATGGTTTATATTAATCTGACAACCTAACCTAATATAATCTATTCTAATCTAATCTAACTTGACGTAAACTAATATAATTTATCCCAAATAACCGAATCTAATTTAATCTAATATAATCTAGGATAACCAAACGTAATCTAATCTAAGGTAATCTGACAGTCTAGCCAAACTTTATCTTTTCTAGTCAAATCTATTATAATCTAACATAATCTAATCTGACCTCACTTAACCCTAACTAATCCTACTTGAAACCTAACTTAAATTAACATAACCTAACCTAACTTAAAACATAACTAACATAAAATAAAATATAACATAATCTCCGTCTTTATTACCTGAGGGTACAGTACAGGTAAACGTATTATCAACCTACTGTAATCCCCACAGGTGTTAACTACAGTAAATACTCCTGAACTTTACAGGAATATATAAATAAAAAACTATATACAGTATATGTGTATGTATATTATATTATATTGTGAAGGGATACGTGGCGTAAATTAATATTGGTAACACTTGGGTCTCTGGCTATCATAGATGTCTGTCTGTCACGAGAGAACACTTGTGGTTATGTGTGCTTGTGGTCAGAGGGAGGAGGGTGTACCGTGTGTGTGTGTGGGGGGGGGATGGTGTGCCGTGTGTGTGTGAGGGGGATGAATTGTGGGTGTGTGGGGAGGAGGGTGTACTGTGTGTGTGTGTGTGTGTGGGGGATGGTGTAGGTGTTGGGGAGGTGGTGTACCGTGTGTGTGTTAGGGGAGAGTGGTGTACCACGTGTGTGTTAGGGGAGGGTGGTCTTCGTGTGTGTGTGTTGGGAGGTGGTGTACGTGTGTGTGTGGGAGGGTGGTGTCTGTGTGTGTGTTGGGGAGGTGGTGTACCGTGTGTGTTAGGAGAGGTGGTGTACCGATAATGTGTGTGTGGGGGGATGGTGTAGGTGTGGGGAGAGGGTGTACCGTGTGTGTGTGTTAGGGGTGGTGTACCGTGTGTGTGTGTTGGGAGGGTGGTGTACCGTGTGTGTGTTAGGAGGATGTGGTGTGCCGTGTGTGTGTGTTGGGGAGGGTGGTGTACCGTGTGTGTGGAGGGGGATGTTGTTTTTATGGTCTTACAAAAGTTTTGCTTCGTCATAATCTCACACGCACGATGCACATGAGAATAGTATAATCTGCACACACACACACACACACACACATAGACACACGCACACACACACACACACCCAGGTACCCAGTGATAACGGCCCGTGAGACACAACAACAACCAGCGATGTGTTAATCCGTTTACGATAGGAAGGCCTGGGACCACACCTCACTCATATAACACCATCTGTGAGGGAATTACTACACCACGTCAGGTCCCTCATAACACCATCTGTGAGGGAGTTACTACACCACGTGAGGCCCCTCATAACACCATCTGTGAGGGAATTACTACACCACGTGATGCCCCTCATAACACCGTCTGTGAGGGAACTACTACACCACGTGAGGTCCCTCCTAACACTATCTGAGAGGGAGTTACTACACTACGTGTTTGCTGTTCAACACCTACAATAATCTGTATGTTCACTGTATGTTCCTTTACCTTTCTCTAATGAAGGCTTTTGTTAAACCACCAATGTATGTAATAAGTCATTTATGTCCAATGTATATTTTCAGCCTTCGGGCTGCAGAACATTTTCAATAAACCGTCAATTATTATTATTATTATTATTATTACACACAGCACAGCACCGACCGGGTTACTTTAACTTAAGATTCACAAGATTTATTCAGAAAAACTACTGCTTTTTAGATATACTGTTACGATCCTCCTTTCGCCGCTTACCCAGCTTCCACCGCTGACTACCAACGGCCAGAGTCGTCTGTACAGAAGTAGCAGAGATCTCACTAGTGTCGTCGAATTACCACTGGCTGTCCTGACAGTCTCTGGTAATTTCCCGAATATAGGCATCAGTGTACAGACAAAACAACAGGCAGGTAGATTTCCACCAGGTCACAGAAACACTTGTGAACTGTAGTTTTCTTTAATTATCACTAAATCTTCACAAAACTGTTCTCAGGGTATGTCTTCACAGCTGAACTCACTAAACAGTCAGCAGTGTGCTAGCTATTCCTTAGTCTTTTCACTTTATATAGCTCACGACAATTCCACAATACTTGCACAACAATTATCACTAGGCTTGTACTATCGTGGACAAAAGTTCGCTCCCTGTCGTGAAACTGAGACACGGGAATGAGTCTCCGAACTGACTTGCCCTGATTGTTATCTGGTGTGGGTGTGCTGTGCGGGTCGATACTGCTTCAGTTTGGGAAGGAGCGAACTTTTGTCCACGATAGTACGTCACACTGAGCAGAAACGATCGACAGACTTTTAGGCCGCCCCGGGCCTCCGCACTACAACAACCCAACCTGCGACCATCTACAGTATGTCCGCCACAACGATTCACCTTAGATTAAAAGTTAGATGATATAAGATCACATTTAACAAGTCACACTCTAGGGAGTCCATAACGTAATACAGTAGGAGATTTTAATAAATATGTAATTGTAAAATCAAACTATTCATTGTTAACCAAAGTAAACATTGTACAACCTCATCCTAAATCCTAGGTTAGCTTAGTTAGTCAACAAACTCTGTAATATGTAAAACAAGGGGTGTCGTCCCCCTCTGTTTAACTCATTAAACTTCTTTTCCAACCTTTCCCCCCACGACTATATGTTGTGACTTCTCCATCCCTCATGTCTGGCTGTGCCTTGAGCCCCAGCATGCCTTCCATCCTTTCCCCACCTTAACCTAAAAAAAAAAAAGTAGGGAGGTAGGTGTGTGTGTGTGTGTGTGTGTGTAAACTTTACTGCTTACGACAAAATGTTTTCATAATTTTCTTAAAAATAAGTTTGATGAAAGGTTTATAGTAGACTTGAGTTTTGTCACGCCTTTTTTTATATCTTTGTTTTTAAGTTAGTCATTGCATCTGGTCTTGCTGATAAATATAAAGTGGAAATGTGTATATTGTTTAGCGGTTATGAAGGCTGGTGAGGTAGCCTAGTATACACGTAGTCGTTTCCGGTAACGTGTTTATTTACAATTTTCAACAACCTTAATATATTTTAGGTTATACCAATTCAATAAATAATTATAAATCTAAAGTATATTTACAGTCTATCGTACGTGTCTGTCAGTAAAGCTCTCGGGCGATATGTTTGTCCTGCTCATGACTTCAATGGAGGTCAGAGACTCCGTAAGGCGGGAGGATCAGCCGCCCGTGGATAATTTTCATAACGTCGCTTCCCGTTAGCTGTGGTTGGCTGACTGACTACTTACACCCTCTCCTCACCCCACCCAGTACACACACACACACACACACACAGCGCCTCTCACTGGTTTCCCTCATAGTTGCAATAAGGAAACTCCACTTCCGGGAGAGTGACTGAGCGTAGTTCCGGTTTCCTCACGTCAACCACCCTTGAGAACCCGACACTGGCTATCATCATCCCGGGTATTCACTGTCATGCATTGTCATCTAGTGTCATGTTTTGTCATATTTTGCCATGTTATGTCATGTTTTGCCATGTTATGTCAAGTTTTGTCATGTTATGTCATGTTTTGCCATGTTATGTCAAGTTTTGTCATGTTATGTCAAGTTTTGTCATATACTATCATGTTTTTTCATATATTGTCATGTTTTGTCATATATTGTCATGTTTTGTCATATACTGTCATGTTTTGTCATATACTGTCATGTTTTTTCATATATTGTCATGTTTTGTCATATATTGTCATGTTTTGTCATATACTGTCATGTTTTGTCATATACTATCATGTTTTTTCATATATTGTCATGTTTTGTCATATATTGTCATGTTTTGTCATATACTGTCATGTTTTGTCATATACTGTCATGTTTTGTCATATACTGTCATGTTTTGTCATATACTGTCATGTTTTGTCGTATACTGTCATGTTTTGTCATATACTGTCATGTTTTGTCATATACTGTCATGTCATGTAGTGTGACGTATCAGTCGAGGGGTTTTGGTGTAAGAGAAAGTATCGCAAGAATATAATGAGCCACACTTACTTCCTGATGGTGTTCAGTCTTTCTTCTTCCTTGTCGAGATACTCCTGTAGGGTGCTGATGACGTGATGCTCGGCCTCCACCAGCTGAGCCACCGTCGCTACTGATGTGTGCACGTCCCCAAGACCCCACGTCCTCCCCATCACTCCTGCCATCACCATAATCACTATCCATCCTCCTCCTCCTCCTCTTTCCCGTCCTCGTCTTCCCCCTCCTCTTCCTCCCCCTCCCCCTCCCCCTCCTCGTCCTCCTCCTCCCTCAACAAGACTCACCATAGCGGGAGATGAAGGCTGGATGTTATCTGTTTTTCGTTAAGTCACAAAGCCCCCAAACACCTCACTGTACACAGACTACCGCCTCTCTTACTCTCCTCTTAGGGAATATCACTTTGAATCACCAATACATAAACTGGTGTAGTGCTTCGGTAAGTCACCAAGCACATTCACGAGGTAACAGATAACACAGTTCATCAACATTGGGTCAACTATAGTATGGTGCTTCGTAGTGAACTAACACAGCTAGTTAAGGCTTACTAGATAACTATATTCAATCACCATTATCTTAACTGGTGTGGTATACCTCGTCAATCACCAGCTAACTCTTGTAGTTAATACCATCGCCAAGGGACACCTAATCACTATTGGGTAAACGACTGTGGACCAACATATGAATTGAGAGGGCGGGCGGGCGGGTGAAGGTATAAGAGAGGATCTTGGTGTGTAGCGGCGACAGGGGGGCGGAGGGAAGAGGGGGGGGGTTGCCTCTGACTCCTGTCTACACACACGGTTCAGATATCAGCAGTGTGTGTGTGTAAGTGTTGTTATCACACACTCACACACACACACACAGAACTGCAGAACCTTTTCAATAAACCGTTAATAATAATTATTATTATTATTATTATTATTATTATTATTATTATTATTATTATTATTATTATTATTACACACACACACAGAACTGCAGAACCTTTTCAATAAACCGTTAATTATTATTATTATTATTATTACACACACACACACACACACATACCTCACCTGTGGTGTTCCCCAGGGGACCAAGATGGGACCACTGTGCTTCCTCACCCTGATCAACGACGCTCTATCGGACACTCCTCACATGTGGAAGTACGTGGATGACTGCACTGTGGGGGTTACAGAGGACAACACCTCACCGGACTACTCATCGCTACAAGGCACCCTGGACAGGCTACAGGCATGGACTACTGAGAACACGGTCACCATCAACCACACCAAAACCGTAGTCATGCTCATCAATACCACCACCACCACTCCAGTGCAAGCTCCAGCAATCACAGTGGGTGCCCATCCTCTCCAGTTAGTGCAGTCTGCCAAACTCCTGGGTGTTACCATAGACCACAAACTGGACTGGAAGGCCCATGTATACAACACAATCAAGGCAGCCTCGTACCGACTCTACATGCTACGACGACTCAAGTCACTTGGGGCACCCACGCCAGAGCTGAGGACTATCTACAACGCCTTTATTCTCCCAAAACTAACGTATGCGTCACCAACCTGGTCGTCTTCTCTCAACTCTACCCAACAACGTCAGCTAGAGAAGGTACAGAAGAGAGCCTGCAGAATCATGCTCGGCGCAGACTACTCTGGCTACACCAACGCTCTCTCCACCCTGGAAATGCCATCCCTCAGTGACCTCCACCACCAAGCACTAGCAAGGTTTGGCAGGGGACTACTGCACCACCCTCGTCATCGCCTCCTCCTGCCACCGGCAGTCCCCCACCCATCTCGCTCAGTCCGTCACTACAACAAAATTCAGCCCATAAGAGCCCGCACTGATAGATATAAGAATAGCACCATCCCATCTATTGTTAAAATAATAAACAACTTCTGATTTATGTACTGTACAGCCCTGTAAATGTATTGAACGCATATCATTGTCCAAATCACATGCAAGTTTGTATATTTTCAGCCACCGTTTATTATTATTATTATTATTATTATTATTATTATTATTATTATTATTATTATTATTATTATTATTATTACACTTTTCCTAGTATGTTTACATACAGGATATATATAAAGTTGAAGGAACATTTTCTTACCTTTACAGTGAAAGGAACGATTATGACCTCTAGAGTTGTTTTTTTCCTTCACTGCTGCCCCCAGTGGTTAGCCTACCAGGACGTCGAGGCCTTTTTCCTTATCCGTGGATGCCAGAAAGTTGTTGTTTAAATGTTCACAATCTAGTCGTACTTTGGGTTATTGTGCCCCACGTGGAGCTTACTTATTATTGTAATGTTAAAAGAGTGTTTGCCACCAGTCCTGCGAACACTTGAAAAGTTCGTGCCAATGGTTTAGCATGATGTGATGCCGTATCTCCCCACAAACCTTCGTATCGTCAGCAAAATTGATTATGCGGATCGAGATGTTTTCGTAAATATACAGTCGAAATAATAATTGACAAGTATTCGCTGACTGACAAAGTTCTTCACTTTGTTTTAAATGCTATTGTTTGTAATATCCATCCTTGTACCTACCCCACCCACCGCCCCATTGGTTATACTGTACCATTGTCCCACCCCACCCACCGCCCCATTGGTTATACTGTACCATTGTCCCACCCCACCCACCGCCCCATTGGTTATACTGTACCATTGTCCCACCCCACCCACCGCCCCATTGGTTACACTGTACCATTGTCCCACCACCCGCCCCATTGGTTATACTGTACCATTGTCCCACCCACCCACCGCCCCGTTGGTTACACTGTACCATTGTCACCACCCACCGCCCCATTGGTTATACTGTACCATTGTCACCCACCCACCGCCCCATTGGTTTTTACACTGTACCATTGTCCCACCCACCTGCCCATTGGTTATACTGTACCATTGTCCCACCCCACCGCCCCATTGGTTACACCATTGTCCACCCCATTGGTTACACTGTACCATCCTCACCAACTTCCTAAGGGGTATATGCCCCCCACCCCACCCATTATCTTATTTTTTCCTGTATTTTTTTAAAAGGAAAACAACGCTATCAAATATTTTCCTTTATTAGAATGATGAATTATAAGCTCCCAACATTGATCTTGAGAGTTAATGATATATTACATAGGTCGTGATGGACTGTTCGGACACCCGCTGTTTACAAGCATCCAATATGGCGCCTCTTCCCCACAACCAGGTTATATAACAATGATACTACTGTTGCCTTCACTTGTCATTATCCCATCAATCCCGATAATTTATATAAATAATAAATACAAATCAAAATTAGATGCTCTTAGTTACTTCAAAATTATATATCATTCAAGAGAAAGATATCGCCTTATAATTAAAGAGACTTAGAGCGGTAGTAGTATGTTCTCTATTACCTGACCCGGATGGTAACAGTGTTCATACACAGGTAGGACTCTTGGCTTCATTCTACTAAATTCCTTGATAATACCGACCCTAACCTCGTAAACTGTGATAATTCCTCTATATCTACGGTATGAGGTAGTGACGTTGAGTGTGAGGTGTGGGAATAAGGTGTTAGTAGTGGTTGGTGGGTACATCTGGCGGGGTGCCTCAGAGCCCCCAAGCCAGACCTCCACCTCCTCTCTTAGTCATTATATATTACCGTGTATTTAATATATTCATTAGTTAAATAATACTCTCCTCATTGCCGTTTATTTACTATATCTGTAGCTTAATATTACTCTCGTCATTAACATAACCCTTAGGGAAATATTACTCTCCTTGTGGTAGTTATTTTCCCATTGTTATTACCATCAATTTAACGCATTCTTTAGTAAGATATTTCTCTCATTATTATACCATCTATTTGATATAACCTTCAGCAAGATGTTACTCTTTTCATTACTGTTTATTCACCTTATTCACCTTATGGCCTCCCACTAGAGGAGGTAATGCCGAGGGAAGGAGACCAGTGGCCTGTGTAGGATCCCTCCATTGTTCTTGATAATGTTGTCAAGGGTTATTTTGAAGCCCAGTACTGTTCATGACTCCACAGCTTGGCCTGGTAGACCGTTCCATAGGTCTACCAGCCTCTGTGTGAAGAAGTGTTGCCTTATGTTTGTTCTGCATGATAACTTGTTGAGCTTGTAGTTATGTCCTCTTGTGGTCATAATATATCATTCTTAGAGAATAGAAACTATTTCGTTCATCATTGTGGGTAGCACTGGTAAGGTTTTTGGAGGGTGATAATTAATTTCTCTTAACTTAACCTAACCTAATATATGGCCATGTAGCTACTTCATGTAGCAGACTTTTGCTCTGCTTATATTACTGTAATTAGATCCCCTTCAATACATTATCTTTTAATATATCCTTTAATAATATTTTAGTCTACAATGTCACCAGTTATAAATAATAATAACAGGATGTGAAAACCTTGTTATAAATTGGTATTTACACTACACCGTATAGGATAGAGGTGTGAAAACTGAGAAAGTGCTGCACTCCAGACAAACCTAGTTGCTTGTGTAGATACCAGCTGAGTCTACCATGTGTTCTGTATTTGTGGGTACTGGCATGACAAGACAAGACACTGGCATGCACTGTAATATACTGTGCACACAAGGACAAGTTACAAAAACTTGTAATTTCAGCAAAGATTTTCGTCTTTAAAGATTTATGTTATTTCTGTGAGGTTGAAATTTTTTGTTGTAAGATTATTCCATTTCGGGGTCATGATTTCTATACTGTACTGTATTCTATTTGGGTGAAATTATAGCAACCATCTGTATCTTGGGCAATTACTGTACTGTACTCTGATTAGAAAAGATTTTCCCACAACATTGGCATTCATTAATCTGATAAGAATTTTAATATATCGTTTTATAATTGTTTTTTATTTACAGATTAGGAGAAAAAGACGTGGTTGTGATCAGGTCCATAGCGGATGTCATCTGAAAACAGCAGCTGAGTGAGTACAGTACATACAACAATTTAGATACACAATAAGTCTTGTGTGTTTATTCTTGGAAAACATAAAAATGAATTGAGATAGAATTAAATACTGTATTTTCATGACAGCATTTTGTTATTTAATATTGAATATTCATCAAAAGGGATAGTATTTTATCAAAGTTTAGATATACTATACAGTTAAAAATCTCTGAAATAGTGATCTTGTTTTTTCCTGTCCTGTTTAATCATCCAACTCGGAACATTCTGCGTACTGTACCCTGATCTTCAGTCCAAAGACATCCTTCCCATCCTCCATGCAGGCAATGTCATTTTTTAATTTACTTTATTGTTTACCTCAGTAGAAATTTTGTAGGTAGGTGTTATATGTTTTGTTTAAGTAAAGTATAGTTTGGGAAGTGTTGTGTTAGTTAGTTGAAATTTAAAACTATAATTTCTTGTGGTTTTCAGAGCTGAGGTATGGACCATTTTCTAAGTGGCTTGGACCATGGACCCAACCCATGGTATGCTCCTCGTCCAGCTGTTGCAGCGCATGGGCATGAGTTTTCCATTGGCAATAGTAAGTTTATTGTAATTGTCTTTTTAACTGTACAGTAGTAGTGTACTGTATAATGTGAGAATAATTAGATATACAGTATTCATTTGCTCCCAAACCTGGGTGTTTATCTTCAACCAGCCACTGGATATTTTGTTGTCTTTGTCTCATTCCTGGCTGGTCTAAATTGTTTCTAGGATAATATCTTCATGTATCTGAAGATGAAGAAACCATTAACAACATTGATGGTATCACTCGTTCTTTGTAGTTGTTCCTTGGTTAATGTTGTACACTTCATAAACCATGGATTCCTTCATGTCCAGCCTCTTGAAATCCTCTTTGGGTCGTTTACCTGAACGCTACCAAACACTAAGGCTATATTGCATTATTCAGATCACAGATGCCTTGCTTGTGCCTATAGGCAGGCAAAGTTACTTTTAAATACTGTATGGAAATCATTAACAAATGTATTTAGAAGCAAGAGTATTAAGTGTACAGTACAAGGGATAAATCCTAGTTATTCCTACCAAGAACAACCTTATCTGATGTTACCTGGTTACTTTTCTTCATTATGTGGTATTCAATAGGCCCCCAAATTAATGGCACCCATGGCTTTAGGCCCAGTCTTCATTTTCACTAAGACTGGGTGTTATTAAGGCAGAGATCGCTGAAGGCCCAATGTATACTGACACATCAAGATTTGGGCTCAATCTTCATTATGTATTGGAATTGAGTCTTGTAATATCATAGGTCCCATTGCCCCTGTGTCTAAATGGTCACATTTTTATTTGCACCATAAATGTTTGGCTCACTGCTTCTGATATTAAAACTAGGTTATATTACATAATGGCCCAAGAACACTTGCTTATCAGTCTCTCGCATATATATTCACATTAAATAAGGATAGTCATTGGATTAAACCATAAAATGCAGTTAATGCATTTGCCAAATAGGGGTTATAAAACATTGATTTTATTGCTGTGACTTAAGGGAAATTAGTGCTTTTATAGTAAAAAATGCTGTTTTATTTAAGACTTTGTTTACTGTCATAATAAGGTTAGTGATAAAGTTAATCATTCATAGTTTGTATTAATTTATGATGATATACATGATCATATGTATATAGTGTATGGACCAGTTTGGTTTAAAAAATGTATACAGACACACACACACACACACACACACACACACACACACACACACATATGTATATACAGTAGAACTTCTCTCGTTTACTGGTCGATACTTCGCAAAATGGGATAGTTCGCATTGAATTCACTTACGATCCAACCTGTGCTAAGTTTGCCCAAAGCTTCCGACAGTTTGCAAAATTTAATTTGAAAAAGTAAAAATGCTCAAAACATCGTAATTTATATAAAAAAAAACAATAACAGATAAAGTAGCTCGGATCATCTTGAAGAAGACTGTAAAAATGCTAAGTGGTTTGTGGATAATTTGTGTACTTGAAGTTTCGTCACTAGCCAGCTGAGGTAAGTGCGGGTCACTGGCTACACTGGGGTATGCCAGACCATCATGCCTAGATAACTTTCAAAGGGTATATCCATATATCTAGTACAGTACAGGTTTTCCTTTTTTCCTTGCTTACACAGTACTGTATATGTATTAGTAGCCAGTTTAGTTTTGTTTGATGCCAGCTGTTAGTAATAATTATGGTATGTGCTTTATTTGTTAAGAGAGACACAAATGACTGCTCAGGGATTAACTGGGTGTCGTTACCTCTAAAATGCCATTTCGTGTGGCTTGTAGAAACTATATACTGTACTGATTATAAAAAAAAAGATTATTAAATTTTGTTTAAATTCATTTCCCACAAGTTTATCAGGTCAGCTAAGTTTTTCATATTTTTTATCCACAAATTTTACAAAATTAACGTCTGAACGGCGTACAGATGTTTCGAGGTTGGGAACCTCACTCACTTTGTGATACACCTGGCTGTGCTGAGATAAAGAACTTTGTTTCTTATCATGTGGCCTTGATTTAGCTGATGGTGATGTAGTAACTCTAGGCAGTCCCTACTGTATTGCTCCCACCGACATGTAACAAGCACTGGAATTGTGTTGTGTACTGTGCCTATTTTAGGCCCTTTCCTACCATACCGATTAGCCACGTGCCACAGGAGTTCACCACACCATCTTGCAGCTACGCTCCTCCCTCTCCAATACACAAGTCCTTCACGACACCTGCAACCCCTTATGTACTGTATAGGCACCAGCTCTTTGGATGGTGAGTATAAGTAGTAATTTGTATTATTACACCACCTTTTCATTTCTGTCCTTATTCTTTGGTTTAGTTTGGGCTCTTAGGGTCAGTAGTGCTTTAGAGGTTCATGTAGTTTATGATCTTTGGGTAAGAAGATGAATTTTGTACATACCGTACAGTACCTTATATTTTGGGTTCATGGTGCCAAGGTCCATAATACCCATGGTGTACGACAATCTTTATTTTGCAAAATTAAAAATGTTCACCAAACGGTCGGTCCCAAAGCATGTGTCACGCTACATAGGGATAATATTAAAAATAGTGACAAATTAAACATACTGTATAATAACAAACTGGTCCATATATGGAGAGACAGTCATATAGGTAATTGTGTAACAAAAAATAAATAGATAACACTCTTACTAACTAAACCTAAATTTGGTGTTTTGGTTGTAACCATAACAGAAAACATGTCTTCAGTGAAACAGCAAATTTTTTTTTGCATATGAATTGATTTCCATTAATTTATAGCAAAATGCAAAAAAGCTACCCCTATTAGGTTTAATAGACAATTATCCCCATTTAGTGTGAGACACACACATACATACATACATACATACATATATACATACATACATACATAGTATGATTGTGAAGTATGGACTTTGGAGAAAATTGGAAGTGCAGGTAACAGAAATGACACTCACGGGATCATTATGTGAGGTAATATTGTAGAATGGAGGTGAGGTGAAAGAAGTAATGGGTAGTAAGGATGTGCTGGATAGTAAATTTTACTTGGATTTTCTGGCTGGATAGTTCAATTTGTGTTGAGTTCAGTATAAATAAGGTATACTTACTGCCAGCCTTTTCCTCCACTCCTGCTGTTGTCTTATATCTTGGGTAGCTTTCACATACATGGTCATACAGCTCTCCCTGTTTATATTTTAATTCTTGAAGCATTTAGTTCACAAGAAACACCATTTAACATCACCTCCTTCACCAATATCCTTAAAATTAATTTTCTGCAGCATAACTGTTACCTGTTGGACTTGGCTCTCTCTGTCCCTCTAAAACTTACCATAACACCATACTGTACTGTATAAGTCTTCTTCTTATGATAATTATATATTCTTTACTCTTTATACGATGCCTATGTTTGGTATTTTTCAAGCTGGAAAATAGTTATGTCCCTACTAATTAAAAGTGTTTTCATATAAAAGTCATGAGAATTTTTGTTTTGCTGTCCTAAACATACAGTAGTGTCAATCACGGCTACTGCTTGCTTCCACAGCCTTAAGCTTGGCGTGACTTTTTTTTTTTTCATCTAAATGCCTTTAAAAATTCTCAAACATAAGTTCTATGTTAAAACCTACAATATAGAGAAAACATTAAAATATTGTAATCAAGGACTAGTAATAAAGAGTCCAATTCAGTCCTGAGAAAGCTTATACAGTATATAAATATTTTTATTTATTTAATTGTGTTTATATACAGGTATGGGGCCGTTTATCTTGCGATCCTGTATCTGGAACGCTGGAAAAACCAGCTATATTTTGGAGCGAATTATTTAAAAGAAGCGCCAAGTAATTCTAGGGCAGTGGGGGGCATTTTCCAACAGTTCCCCACCTCTGAACTGTATGTTGTATTAGGGTTGTTTTTAAACTCGTAATTTCGGGGAGATACACATAATTTTCTTTTTTTTTAACTCGGTTAAATACACATGCAATCCTAAAATCAGAAAATGCAAAAGAAAATATAATATATATATATCATAAGGTATAAAGTTTTCAGTATCTACGAGTTTCCACCATGAAGCTGTGTGGCGAGCATGTGGAGATTGGAGGCTTTGCAATGCAGAGCACCATTGCTAGGGAAGGCAGCCAGGCAATGTCCCAGCTGGGCTGCATTGCTAAGGCGAGCATCAAGGCAGCCAGTATCCCCGAGAACTGTGATGTAGTGTGGACACTAACTTTTATCATTTTTTAACTTTTTATGCTTTCATTTTTGCTATTTACAATAAAGTACAGTACTGTATATACTTTCATTGTTACATATAACTTAAGTTTTTAATGTTACAGTGTACAGATAAAGCTACTTTTAGGGGTGAATCTTGTGATCTGAACTCAGGCTTTGCAGCTAGATACAGAGGGTATATTGTACATTTAGTACATTTTAGGCTTAGCACTCCAAATTCCGGAAAAAAACCCTATCTGGTAACCCCTAGGTCCAAAGCATGTCGGATAAAAGATCCCATACCTATAAACACACACATATACAGGTACTCCGACTTACGACAACCCGGACAACGACCGTCGTGGTCGTATAGAATATTTTTCAAACACGTATTTTCGAGTCCTGACGTTAGTGATCGTGCTGTGTACTGACAACATTTTTCTTTGTAATTCCCCTTAAAATGGCTGGTAAACGTAAAAGTGAGAGTTCTCGTAGTGCTGAGAAGAAAAAGAGACGCCCATTTTAGAATTTCTATGTATTATTTTCGCTTTTTCGACTTAAGACCAATTTGACATACGACCTGGTCGTCGGGACGGAACCCCGTCGTAAGTCGAGGAGAGACTGTATGTATAGTTAAAAAATTTAACTATCCAGCCAGATACTGAGTTGGAGTGTAAATATCTATTATCCAGCTGGATAGTCTATTCAGTGCACGCCTAATGAGGAGTGGGTGTATTGGGGTCTTCTTGGAGAGTGTGGACATATTGAGAGAGAGATACTGTAGTATGTAAAAATATTGTATAGCTAATTCAGAGGGAGTAGGGAATACCAAGATTGAAATGGAGAGACAGATTAAAGTTTGCTGAAGAGTTGAAGGGAATGAACATGTAAGAAGCAACATTGTGCAGTACATAGTAGAGTGATTTTTAGAGAACTACTGTACAGTTCTGTACATACTGGTGCTGGCTGGTGTAGGAGGACAGGCTCTGAGACATTGTTGTGTAACCTTGGACACATACAGTACATCTTTGATAGCAGTAAGAATGAATTAATGACAATAAGTGAAGGGAAGATGTGTGTGTATTTTCTCTTGTTTTGGGGCACCATGTAGTAAGTGGGGAAAGGTTTGAAGGAGTAAGAATGCACACTTAAGCAGTATATGCTTTTATTACAGGTTCATTCCAGTTGATTCCCATCTCTGGCAGCAACAACCCTACCAGCAGCAACCACAATACCTACAGCACCACTTCCACACAGCCACATCTACAGTCGGCCTTTAAACCTCCTGTCGAACCACCAAAGGTGAAGTCTGAGTCTAGAGAAGTGGATGAAAGGGATGACAGCAAGACGCCCACTCCCTCAGTAGCTCTCACCCCCTTGTCCACCAACATGGCTCACCATAGCCATAAAGCCAAAGCTGGTAAGCAACTTTAAGTTTTGTTAACAGGTTTAATAAAGGTGAGTATGGTTGTCTGCAATAAGTCAGGTAAGTTCACTAGTAATCATTAATTACATACTATTTATTGTTGGCTGTAAAATTTTTGTATTGGGGGAATACAGTGTTTTGCTGGTGGCCCAAGTTGAATATTCAAGCAGTGTGGCTCCTATGTATTGTGACCTAGGCCATTGGGTCATGAAGAGTTTCACTCACACCGTATGATAGGTTATAAAATGGAGACTATTTATTATTTAGTTAATATTCTGTGTTAAGTGTTAATGAAAAAAATGGGGTTTCTCTTGCCATTCATTTATAATTTGACCCGTGAAAATGTCCTTTGGTCCCAAGTTACAGTATGATGCCCCATAATGACTGGCGATGACCTATTTTGATTTTTTAAGGTGTCTAAAATCCTGAGATACATATAAAAGTACAGGTAAAGGTATTTGTTTGTCTCGCTTCACATTGTCTTTTATCCCGAGGAAGATGAGCTGCATGATTATACAGAACATTAGTTTTGCTTTAGTGCTGTGGGCCCTCATTGAAAGCAGATTTATGCACAGTAGTTAAGTTTATACCATTGAAAATACTGTAGGTGTCACTCTTATCCAGTTACATAAAAAATTTTTAACGTACCGTGGGTTTAGTTGGTGTGGTGTAGCGGGGATGGATTATTTCCTCATTACTCCTGTATATAGTAGTCTTCTATGACAGTGGTACCAACTGTATTAGTAATGCACCTAAAAGTTATATTTTACAATTACCTTGTACAGTAAAAAAATCATACCATAATTTAAAATAATGTGGACTCTAGCCCACATTATGAATTACAGTACAGTATAGTATAGGATTTTATGAAATATGAGTTTTTGCATCAAACTTAAATTCCCACTGCTTTGTATACATGACATGAATGCTGCCATCCAAATGTTTGTTCAATTCCAAATTCCACCCACTCCTATAACTCCACACTTGTACATACCTGTAATTAGCAGATGATATTTAAAAATACAGAGTGATTACATGACAATAAATGAAGAGAAATTTGACAATCAGGCAACTGGCTGAGGAACTGTCTGGTTGAAATGAGTCCATTTGCCCCCAGTGAGTTTGATGAGTAGGTTATATGGTGTTTGTTGGAGGAGGATGACATATTGAAAGATAATTTGTAGACTTCATATCACTGGGAGTGGTAGAGAATAATGTAATAAGTTAGTGAAATAAGTAAGCATATTGGTAGTAGAAAACTGCATTACTTTAACATAAAGTTCATAATTACTCAGGGAAAAAAAATTATATTGGCAGAAATGTCTATTGTAAGTAAGGATTTTTGTTTGTAAATCGAATCGTGGAACAAATTCTATTTTTTCATAACTTTGGGTTTTCATGAACCGAACTTTTATAAATCAGTGACTGTATGTAACTGTATATTTGCAGTGCATCAGTTGCTGCCTCTCACATCTACCCCTTCAGTTGTGGCTTTGAGAAATTTAATATCTTATGGGAATGCAGGATTAAAGGGTAACTGTGAATACATTATACAGCATTCCAAACATATTTCCATTTTTTTATGAAGCACAAGTGGAATAAAACTACAGTGAACCCTCACTTTACGCGGTTAATTCAACCCACGGCGGCCCGCGTAAAGTGAGAAACGCGTAAAGTGAACAACATAACATATGGGATTAATTGAAATAGAGACCGGGCCGACCCCCAAACTCCACTTTTTCCCGACACAATACGTATGTTTTACTAAAAATAACCTCTTAACTTTATGATGGTATTCACACACACATAATATAGAAGGGAACAGTCAATAAGAGAAGAATAAACTGAAGGTTAGGTTAGAAAAAAACAAGGCTGGGGTTAACACTTACGTTAGTAGAAGAGATGGGTCGGCGTAGGGGAATGGAGGCTGGTTCCGAGGCAGAGGGCAGGCTACTGGCCCTCAGGTGAGTCTTCATCGGTGTCATCCACACTTACTAGTGCCTCCCTGACAAATCCCTCAAAGTCATCATCACTGTCTCTACCTCTGTCACTATCACTGGCTTGGGCTGGCTGTGGTGGGTTGCGGGCGAAGAACTCTGTTATGCTTTGTTGACGGCTGGTGTTTATGTTGTCGTGATAAACCTTGATGTAGGGCTCCATAGTCTGCAACAGCTGGGTAGTGAAGATTTCATACCTGTTTGCGTCAGGGTCGTCGGAAAGGAGGAGCTTGGCTTTCTCGGTACACTTGATGGCACCCCTAACATTACTATGGGATAAGCGGCGTTCTTCTTGGGATGACACACCACCTGCCTCTTCACTGACGTCATCATCATCTACCATGTCGTCGGTAGTCACAACAGGATCCATTATCACCTCCAGGATGTCGTCGTTGGTGGTCTCGGAGAAGCCTGCAGCTGTAACACTCTGTGCAGCTTCTCTGGCAAGGTCCACTGCTACTGCAACAGTCTGAACCTCACCAGTCACAGATTTACTCTGCCTAACGCCTGGAATGCCTTGCAACACATGTCTCCATGCGTGACGAACAGTTGCTACAGAGAGCTGATCCCATGCCTCCACCAAGAAGTCCACAGCTTTCTTGACGATGAATGTTCTCCAGAATTGTTTTAAAAGTACTTCTTGCTCTGCTAACTGTTGATCCTCGTCGTCTTTGCTCTTGCTATCGGTGTTGGTGTCACTCAGGTTACGCAACTCTTCCTTGGTGTTGGTGTAGTCGTTCAGGAGCTTGAATTTTTTAGTAGAGAATGCAGCTTTTACATTACAGATTAACTCTTGGTCCATGGGCTGTAATATAGACGTAGTGTTGGGAGGAAGGAAGACCACTTTTATGTTGGGGTGACGATCTAACAGTAGGGGCGAGTGTCCTGGTGCGTTGTCCAGCAGCAACAAAATCTTGAATGGCACATTCTGTTGCTCACAGAATTTCTTCACATCGGGAACAAAACAGTCATCAAACCAGGAGAGGGACAGTGTAGAGAACATCCATGCCTTACGTGCGGTCAGCCAGTGGACATTTAGCTTGGTCATGTCCATGCTCTTGTAGGCGTGCGGCTTGCGTGCTGTGTGGATCACCGATAACCTGAGCTTACAGGTACCGGAGGCATTGGTGGTAAACAGGACGGTGATGCGCTCCTTCTGCAACTTCCGGCCCCGAATCTTGCTGGTATTCTTCACAACGAAGGTCTTGGAAGATAGTTTTTTCCAAAAAAGACCAGATTCGTCCATGTTAAACACCTAGTCGTCGGTGTAATGTCCTTCCTCCATAATCTCACGTAAAAACGGAGGAAATTCCCTAGCCGCAACACGGTCAGCACTAGCTTCTTCACCACCAATGTTGATATTGGTGATCTTGTTTCTCTTCTTAAAGCTCTGTAACCACCCAGAGGAAGCATTAAAGGGTTTGGGCTCTGTAATTCCCATCTTTCGTGACACTGCAGCATACAGTTCACGTGCGTACTCCTGAACTGAGCGCGTGTCCACCGCTATGTTCAGTCGCGCCTGACGCACCAAGTAGCTCACAAGTAATTTTTCTGTCTTGGGAAGCACCTGGTTGTGGCAATACTTGATCATAGAAGCACCTGTAGACTTTGTGATGTTCATGTGCTCCTTTATCTTGGCTGCATCCTTCTTAATTGTCCTGATCGTAGACTCGTTAACACCATGCTGGCGCGCGAGATCATCCTGTCTTGTTCCTTTCTCCAACTCTTGTATGATCTTATACTTAATTTCGTAGCTTAAGGAACGTCGTATCTTCTTTGGCTTAGGGTGGCTGGGTCCAGGTAAGGAAAGGTTTCTCTTTGGGGGCGGTGGTCCGGCGGAAGCCATTTTACAGAACAATGGATTCACGTATACACGGTGTGGCCTGGAGGGATGAAACTGCCGCGGCTAGGTCAAGCGTCGTCTTTCCTCCCTCCCTCCTGCGGGTGGACACGTCATATTACTTTAAACCAATCACAGCTAGCAGTGGAGGGAGGTAAGGGCGCATGGCCCAATTACAGTCCGATACGTCATATGATGTCACTGATAACGCAACAAAGACACACACTGCGCAACCTACTCGCGCCGCTTGCACAACATGGCGGATGGCGGGAGGTTTGGATCCAAAAATGGCGCGGCTCGCCAGCCGCTCTCCGCGTAAAGGGGTACACGCACCGCGGAAAGTGAGCATTCCGGTTTCGGCAGGGTACCGCGTAAACGTGGAAACACGTAAAGTGGGACCGCGTAAAGCGAGGGTTGACTGTACAGTATTAAGTATGTATGTGAAAATAGAAACCATTATGAAACAAAAAATAATGAATTCTAGCTGTTTATTTTCGAACATTTTGGTAATCCATATGTTAATTTCTTTTAGCTTTTCAAGTGCATGATTTCTCCAACTCACACAGGACAATTTAACACAGATAAGCACTGAAGCTTTCACTCTGGCATGGACATCTTCTTCAGAACTACGAGTAGCAGTGTGGTTCCTTTTATACCATGTTCTTGTCCATGTGTCACAAAGCTTATGCCATTCTTCAGCTCATCAACTAGCTCCACTTTCTGTATTTAAAGCTGTTTTCCCTCACTGCAGCAACACATTCAGATGCATTACATATAGGCACCATTATATTTAAAGGTTAATACAGAACAGGAATTCAAAGGAAATATCCATGAGACCAAGATTGCTTTAGAACAGCATGTGGCAGACTAATGGTGTGTTGGAATGCTGTAGTTATACCTGCCTGACGTAACTAGGTGTTTATACAGGTACCAATTTCGCTTATACAGTGCCAGCCTTTCTCTTTTGTCGGATCACCGGTATGACTTTTGCCAGGCAAGATCTACTGGTGATCTGCTCTCCTACTGCACCCATCTTTGGTCATCCTTTCTTAGGGATTATGGGTAAACTTTCGTCATTCCCTTTGACATCTCCAAAGCATTTGGAGGGTATGGTAGAAGCCTTTGCTTTCTAAACTTCCCTCTTATGGTTTCTGTCCCCCACTTTGTTCTCTAATTTCTAGCTTCCTTGAGAACCGATCCATGGAGTTGATGTCGAGGGATCGATCTCTCGCTTTTTATCTACCAATAGTGGCGTCCCACAGGGTTCTGTTCTCCACACTACGACTAGTTCTATCCATTCTTGCGCTGATGATTCTAGTTTCCACTCTTCTTCATATTTTTCCCTTCCCCCAATTCTCAAACTAGGTCTGTTTCTAGAGCTGATATCACTTCATCTATCAATGCGGATCTGTGCAGCATCTCCGAACGGGGAGGTAGAAACTTGGTTAAATTCAATACTGTAGTAATAAAACACAGTATTTACCAATTACACTTTCCTAAAAGGAAGATCTCCCACTAATCACATTTCAGGATGCAATCATTCTGCCAAATTCTAAAATAGTTATGCTAGGCCTCGCCATTTTCTCTAAAATGTTGTGGAAGCCACAATGCTATACAGAACACTAGCTACTGCACTCCTGAGCAGTTGCTTCAAGTTTATAAGGGATTCATTCGTCTTAACTTGGAGTACTGCTCTCATATCTGGGGTGGCTCTTCTTTTGTTCAATTGTTAGATAGGGTGGACTCAAAGGCATTTTGTCTTATTAACTCTCCTCCTTTAGTTGATAAGCTCTTTTCCCTTTCTCTTCACCACAATGTTGCTTCACTCTCTTTTACAGGTACAGGTAGTTCTGCTATAACGCGATAATTGTGTTCTTGTAAAATATCGTGTTATAGAAAATCGCGTAATAGAAATAACAGGGCTTATGGAGAAAATAGGGTTAGGTGCAGATTACTCGAAATCGAAAAAATTTAGTAGTTAGCCTAACACAAAGGATAGCACAGTCTAAATAAATGTTACATTCATATCTAATAATGAAATCATACAGTAAATGTAATACTTTACCTTGACAAAATATGAATGTAACTTGATGGGGGAGAAGGGTGATTTTGAGGTTGATAACATCGAGCTTCTCTTCAAGTGTTATATCCTTTCTTTTACGATCATCACCGGGAATTCTATCACCAGAACGCTTCTTGGAGATATTCTTCTTTACCATATTCACAGTTAATACCACAAAATTGGAGAAATAGTAAGCAAAAATCGCGTTATAGCAAACAAGCGTTCGCGTTATACAAATATCGTTCCTAATTCATAAATCGCGTTAGAGCAAATTCGCGTTATCAAAACACGCGTTATAGCAGAACTCACTGTACTTTAATGGGCAATGCTCGGTGGATTTGGCATCCTGTGTACCGCCGGTAAGGCTGTGGGCTCATAACACTCGTCTTGCCCGCAGTGCCCACCGTTTCTGTGTGGATGTCGGTCACACTAGAATAACCCTTTACGTATACAGTAGTACATCCTTCTTTCTGCACACAGCCAAACTATGGAATGCCCAGCCTTCCTCTGTGCTTCTGTACTCATACAATCTGTCTCACTTCAAAAAGCTGGTTTTCCGGCATCTTCGTGGTGTAGATTAATACAGCATACAGTCTCTCCTCGACTTACAACGAGGTTCTGGACTGATGACCAGGTCGTAAGTTGAATTGGTCGTAAGTCGAAAATGCAAAAATAATGCAAGGAAATCTAAAATGGGTGTCTCTCTTTCTTCTCAGCACCACGAGAACTCTCACTTTTATGCTTGCCAGCCATTTTAAAGGGAATTACAAACTAAAATTTTGTCGGTACACAGTGCGATCAGTAACGTCGCGACTCGAAAATATGTAATTTGAAAAATATTTTATACGATTGCGTCGGTCGTATTTTCGGGTGGTCGTAAGTCGAGGAGTACCTATAGTCTTTTTCTCTTCTATTTTTAATGTATTTTCTCTTATTTTTGGCCTCCCAGGCCCTGTTGTGGGTCGATGACACGTGCCCGGGTGGGCTCTTCCCTGTAAAAAAAAAAAAAACTAGTGATGTAACCTTTGGTACAGTATTACCCCGCCTAACGCGGTTTCACTTAACGCGTTTTTTCATATACGCGGTGCCTCGCCAGAAGCGAACTTTCACTTAACACGGATTTTTTCCACATATACGTGGTGAGTGTCCGGCTCGAGACGCTATTTTTAGATTTGCCCCACCCGCCACCCTGCCTGACTGCCTGTTTTAGCTCATAAAATTCATACAAATTACCCGGCCAGAATATAATTTACATTGCTGGAATTCTTATAATTTGGTGATCATTTTGAATATAAACATCATATATTTTGCATTAGACATACAAATTTTAGATAAAATGTTTTCTCTAGTAAATATGTTATCTTTTGTGCAAAATATATGACATTTATATTCAAAATATTCCTGGTCTTACAAGGAATCCAGCAATGTCAATTGTATTATCCTAACTTTAGTTTGAGGTATTATTTATTAAAATTTAGTGGTTTTCCCCAAAAATTTCTCAGAGAGGGAAGAGCCAGCAGTGTAGTGTGAGAAGAGGGGGAGGGAGTTGAGTCCATTATTTGAATGGACATTAACTTGGCGACTGTATTTCTCTATTTCTCTTAAGTATTAATTGTGTGCATGTACCATCATAAAATTAAGATGTTATTTTTACTACAACATAGTTATGTGTCTTCAAAAAGTGGAGTTTGGGGGTCGGGCTGGTTTCTATTGGAATTAATCCCATATGTTCTGTTGTTCACTTAACGCGGGACCCTCTGGGTTCTATTGACCGCGTTAAGTGGGGTACAACTGTATAAACAATACTAGCATGTTTTATTTCTAACCTGCATGATGTAAGTATAAGTGGGTTTCCATTTTTCTTTACAATGAAGATATTAACAATTACCGGTATATAATTGTACTCAATTCAAAGTACAATTCTTATATACTGTATGTCTGAAATTAACATGACAGTTTTTGGTCAGTGATGTAACTGGTATAAATTTTTTCCCCCCTTGCCAGTAAGTGCAGAGTATTGTATATTTTGGTGAACTAAACACAGGTTTTTAGTGAAATAAAAGTGAACTATCCCACTCCGCAAAGTATCGATCGGCAAACTAAAGAATTTTACCATATCCAAGAATTTTTATGAGGAAGGACTTTTTAATGAATCAAAAGTTTATGTATTCTATGTTTGGTTAAATAGATTAATTGTCCTAAGGTATGTGGTCTTGTACTTCTATAAGGAAATAACCTTCTATAATTTACCACCCTTCAGTTAACAGGTCCCTTTGGCTGTTTCCCTTAATCCTTTTCCTCTATGATGCAGTGACCAGAATCATGAACAGACACCAACAGACTCAACTCTCATATGCTGTCATTCATTCATTCTTACTGTTGCAGGAAATGTGTACTGTACTACTGTGATGTTCTCTCTACAAGAAGCTGCAGCCATGTTGTTTCTTGGTAGATAGATGAGGTACTAGGGATAGTTACTGTATATACAAGTGGATGATATGAGACCCTAAGCCATCCCAATTTTATGAATGATGTGTAATTTAGAGATTGTGGGTCAATACTTAGTGAATAGTGTCCAACTTATGTTTGGAGCAGTGATTTGACCCAGATCATGAATGATACTATGCACAATTTTAGCCTTTATAGATCACTTGAAGATTAGGCCTGCCCCAATGTAGTTTCAGGCTGGTTTAGCTGGTGGATGATTTAAGGTGAGCACTTTAGGGGCTGATCTTCGAGTGATCCTTAAAGGCGAGAATTGCAAATGGCCTCGTTTGTTTTCCTGGATCACAACTACAACCACATCACTGTTTCTTCCAATAAAATATACAATGGTTGAATTTCAGGTGAGCTTGAGTGTCAACAAACTCTAAGTATTGGGAAGAGTAAACCAGTCCTACTTTGCTGGCTGTAATCAGTACTTGGGTTATGTACTGTACTGTACTGTACTAGGAATGTAGATTTACAGTATATCTTGCATAGTGAATGATTACACAACTGGCTAAGAAAAACCACTTGAACTAAACATACATCATTCACTTTTAAAAACCAAACACCAACCATACTACAGATTCTGTGACATACTTCAAAATAGAAAAGGATAAATATAATACTGTATATGAGAAGTAAAGTACAAATATAACACATAATTTCAGTTGTTCATCAGGGAAGCAAGACAGGTTTATGTTTTGATATAATGGTCGGCAATTTAATCTGGCTGGAAATGTGAACTGTCCTTGTAGATTGGGCTGAATTTGGTTTTCTCAGGTGAGAAGGTATTTGCTCATGGCTAATGTTAGTATATAATGCCAGTAAATATTTATGCCTATTTAGTACCAACAAAATGCTCCTGATAGATGCCTACTGGTTGAGATGTCACAGGTAACTCACTGCAGATCCTTTAAGTTGTAAAACGGATATAGTATAAATAATTAATCCTTCATTTACAAATTATAATAACTAGTATTGTCTTTTTTGCAGGTGAACGCTGGGACACGAAGAAAGTTTGTAACATTTGTGGAAAAGTACTTTCTCGTGGTGACAAACTGAAGAATCACATCCGAACACATACCAAAAATTTCCCCTTCGAATGTGACGACTGCGGCCAAGGATTTCTCCGGTCAGAGGGACTTCGTGTGCACAACCGCGTTCATACTGGGGAGCGTCCTTATGTATGTATGGTGTGTGGGAAGGCATATACAAGGAAAGATAAACTTACTAGACATGCTATAGTTCATACTGGTGAAAGGCCATTTGTCTGTCAGCACTGTGGCAAATCCTTTACTCGGAAGGATAAGATGCAGCGGCACGAGATGATACACAAAGTTGACAAGCCCTTCACTTGTGTGCCGTGTAATCTGGAATTTGTACGTCAAGAAACTTACAATGCCCACATGGAGAGGAAGCATCCTGACTGCCTCCCTTACACTGTGGTGCAGCAGCCTCGGTCTGGGAGCCCAGGATACCACCCACAAGGACTTAATCTGACAGATAATAAGAGTGGTATCAAACTGGCTCAGAGCAGTAGTAAATCATTAAACACTCCTACATCAGCAAGTGCTACTACATCATCAAGTACTGCTTTTCCAAGTGGTACATCACTGCTTAGTGGTTCATCACTAACCACTTGTACCTCACTTCCTGGTGGTAGTCATCTAACAAGTGGACCATCAGTTTTTAGTGGTACTTCACTTCTAAGTGGTAGTTCACTCTTAAGCAATTCATCTCTTCTAAGTGGCACCTCTCTTGCAAGTGGTAGTGGGTCTCAAACCTTATCATGAATTTTAATACCATAAAGAAATTGTTTCTTACATTTATGTAATAGATATCCTGTCATCAACTTGTCATGTAAGTTTTATCCTAGAAATGATATTGTCCATAATATATTGTATTGTATCTGGGCTAAGTTATTTTGGTAGCTTAGCTTATGTAATCCTCTCATAACTTATTATTTAAAATTTTTGGTGGACAAATTTTACGATTTTACCAGAATCCATTAAGAGGTTTGTGAAAGAGAACAGTACATGTAAATTGTTCTTTTTATATATTTTTTTCCTTCAAATTTAAGGACAAGTTACATAATGAAATTAAATTTCATTGCATTGCCAGATACTTGATGTGTACATCATGTACAATGTGTGAATGAAGTATCTTCCCAGATTTGGCCAAAGTATAATGAATCCTGACTGCCCAGCACAGTGAATGGCATTACTGGCGATCCCTTTCAAAGGTTCCACAGGCCTGCCAACTGTTTATGGGCTCCCCACATGCATTTATCAAATGGCTCAACCATTCTGCGATGTATTAATCAAAACCCCAGGAAGATACCACATTCTCTCACTGTACCTACGTATTATTCTACTGGTTGTCAAGATAGTTTGTGAGATAACTATTAATTTTTATTTAAATTAAGGAGATGATAGCCATCTTGCTTGTGTGAAGATCACTTGCTATTCTTAAAGCCCTTGGAGAGAGAAGACCTAAGGTAAAACAAAAAGGGGCTGTTGCTTGCAAAACATGAACAGTGATAACAATTATTAACTCTCTAAGTCTATTCACTTAGTTTTTATTAATAATACTTACATTTTATGAATAATTCAAGAGGAAATGATTGGAAGAAGATGTTTCTAACAACATTATGTTTGGATGACCTCTGGAAATTGTGATGGAGAATATGGTAGCCTCTATAATAACCTGGAGGATACACTAGACAGGCACTCGTCATGTCATGCACTCACAGGAGTTTGTTTGCATTGTGGCTGGCTGTCAAAACAAAGCTGTGTTGGACCATCTTGTTACTGCTAGTAACGGTGTTTTTATTTAAATGTTCTTTTATTATTATTATTATAATGATGACTTATCACATACAGTATTATGTAAGTGTTAGGACCTTCACTTTAATGAAATATAAAGATAATGTTTTAGCTGTGTCTTACTTCTGTCATAGTTCATGATCAGATGATTTTCTCAAATTCCTGAAATTTTTATATTATATAAAACTATACTGTACTGTATAGTAATAGGTATTGAATGGAAGATGTAAATCTACAATATTATGAAAGCAATACATAATAACTACAGGATATCTTGTACAGTAATTGGTTTGGTCAGGTTCAGTACAGGAAGTTTGCAGAATTTATATACTGTACTGTAGTTTAACAAATGTTACTTTTTGTTACAATTATGTACTGTAAATGGCATACCGGTATGTGTAAATGTACGGTGGGTAATTTATTATGTAAGCTGTGATTGGCTGTAGTGACCTGGTGAGTCACATGCTGTAATTTCCTGTAGAAATTTGCATACTGGCATAAGTTATTGTGAATCATGCAGTGTGACTGATGCCTGCAATTAAGTAGCATATACTATAGGTGGGCAAGGGGTGACTAAATTTAAGTTTATAGACATCTCAGAGGGCATTGCATAGTCGAGTGTCCATAACTGGAGCTGGTGGACAACCACCCTACTAGGGACTACAGCTCAATATTGAAGAAGCCACAGAAAATTGTCAGGGCAAACTTATTTGGAGTGAGAATTTTAAACTCATGGAACAAACTGCCAGAGTGTGTTGTGATGGTGCTGAGTGTGATCTCATTTAAAACCAAACTGGACCAACACTGGTGCAGGTACAGAATCATTCTGGAGCCAGTACATGCCCAGTACTTGCCAACAGCGTGTAACACAGATTTGACTTGCCGCCTAAGCGACTAACGAACCAATAGGTGGCAAAGAGGATACTAAGAGTAAGTAAAAGAGTCTTACACTGTGATTGGCTGTAGCAAGCCATACAGGAGATGTTCCTTCCTTTGTTAGATTAGGTGAGGTGAGGTTTGTTTGGTTCACTACGCTTGTTTTAAAAATAATTATTTGTAAGTTTCTCAAGTCTTCTGTGCTTTAAAACCAAAAGAGTTGTGTCTGCGGTGGAAAAAATTGTGGTTCAGTGTAAGATATTCATGTGGTATAGCTGAACTAGGACACACCAGGTGAGGTTAAGTCAGTCTAACCAACATTACCTAATTGAATCTTGCAAGCCTTACCAACTTTACTTTAGAGACCTAACCTAACCAAACCTAAATGTACATACCTTACCAACCAAACACAATGGAGAAAAGAAAATACACCTTTGATTCACTTCAACCATTTGTAGTACACTTAATATATGTAACCATCCGGGGGGGGGGGGGTTGCAGCCGGGTATGGAAGAGTGGACACCATGTGATTGAAATTAACTATCAGACTCAACAATTTTAAGTTGTATTCCTAGCTACATGCATTGTATATTTAGGAAAACAATTTGGTTAAAAATAATGAAAAATGAGAAGGATTTAGTACAGTGTATTTGAATAAGTTGGAATCTTACTGTATAATCCCATCTACTGTACAGTATTATCAATTCCTAGAGTAAGTGTATTTGTTGCTGCTCTATTATATTGAATATTGGATCTCTATAATATACTGTATTAGGAAATCTCTTAACAATTGTTTTAGTAAGTACACAGTAAAAATACTGTATAATGGATGTGCCATACTGTACTTTCTCTAGTGTTATGAGTAATGGTTGAGGTAAATTATGTCCTTATATAAGTTTTAGGTGTCGGCAGATGGTACAGCTCCACTGTTTTGTGAAGAAATGGTGAATTCTCTAACTGGTATAACATTTTACACACCAAACTAGTGGTACCAGCTGGATGTTTTGACTGCAGGCCTTCAAATGCACATAGCTTTTGTTGACCTGTGACATCACTATATCAAATGACTGTGCCTGCTCACTTGCACTGTAACACTTTAATTTATATGATACTGATAATAATATACATGAAAACAGCTGTAAAAGTTTACTGGTACAGGTGCATGTTGTGCTTACTGCAATGTGTCCAGAATTAAACCAAAAGGATTGCAGTATGGTGTATCACTAACATGGCAAGAATGTACTTGCATTGTAATGAAAAATAAAGTGCAAAGGTAGACAAAGATAAGCTTGAACGCATATGTAGAGAAGATAAGGTGATTGACACTGCACACATATGGCGACTCATGTGAGTAAGAGATTGATAAAAGTAATTGATAATGTAGTGTACATAAGTCCTCACTTGCCATTGTTAATAGTAGTAGACCTCATGTTGAGGATTGAATCTATTCCTTTGGTACGTTTGTGAAGCAAAGTTCTGTCATTTGCAGTATAACTTAGTAAGCTGACTTTCTTCCAGATAATTTTTCTGTATTAAAGTTTCGGTGAAGTGTAATCCCACATTTGATGAGGAAGGAAGTGATTGGGAACTGTTTGGATGCGTAGTATGATAAGTAAGTCAGGAATGGATCTTTGAACTTTTAAGTGACAATTTCAGTGATCTGAATGTTCAGCCACAGTACTGTACTGTACTGTGGAAAGAAGTCTGATTTAGAATAAAACTGATATTTCATAGGAAGGTCTCTGATTTCCCTGGAGTTATTGAATATTTCTTATATACTGTATGTATATATTTGTGTGCATTTGTGTGTGTGTGTGTGTGGGGAATATAAATTAAGTTTCATGGGTGGCATTAAATGGTAAAAACTTGGTTATGATGAGGCCAATTTTCTCAACAGTTGTGGAGAGTTGGTACTGTACAGTACAGAACGTACTGTACTGTATGTTCACAAGAATATAACTATTCTTGTTTAATAAGATATATGAAGATTTATGATGGTGTTGGCACAATGACCTTACACATTGGATTTTTTAAACTACTGTACAGTTATTTTATAATTATTAGTACAAAGTTAAGGATCTTTTGAAAGATGACAATGTGAAGATCTTCAAATGGCCGAACTTACTTGCAGGTTATATATTGGAAATGGTCTAATTGTCCGATTGATTTTAATTTACTAATTACATAAAGTTGGCTATGTTTGACCACAGTATTGTACATTAACCAGGAAATAAAGACATTTTGGGTAATACTTTACAATGGTTGTGTGCCTGAACCACCAACTTGAAGACATTGCAGGGTATCTTTAACTAAAGTAACTCTTTACACATGGCATAGTTGTGAGTGACAACCAATGATCAAACAACATTTTGTAACCTTTGGTCTTGAGCATCCCAGTAGCCTTTTCTATATTGTTTTAAGAGAGTGAAACAGGTGTCATGTGATTTATAATGTACCTACTAGTATACTGTACTGTATAGTATATAAAAGTTAGAAATGAAACTGGAACACAGACAATGGCAGTGAATTCAGTCCAATTACAGTTCAAGAATCTGTATTTTCAAAAGCTTAAATAGTAAAGTACAGCATGTGGTGCTATCAGTTGTATACTACTGTATATAAATTGCATTCTCACAGTTGTCCAAGTTGAAGAGTACAGTGATATCCCCGTTACTTGGAACAATCGGTGCAGAACACTTCCAGGAATGAGAGATTTCTGGGTAACGAAATGACTCTTAATCCTGGAAAAAATCCTCCATCCCAGGAATTTTTCCTGATACTGGAATAAGTTTTTTGGAATTTTCTGGAAATTGTGCATTATTTCATCCTTGGAATTTGCTACCAGACCCACCCCCCCCAAAAAAAAAAAATGGAGGGTTTCTGGAATGTTTCTCAGACATCAGAAAATGTGCCTGATTTTTCAACTTCGGAAAATTTTTCTGAAACCCGGAATTGAGCAAATTTAATTTCCGGCCAATGGAGATACCCTGTATTAATGTAGATGGTAATTGTGATGGACACTTTATTTATCATTAGATCAGTGGCTCCCAAACTTTTTAACATGATGCCCCCTTTTGCTTTTTGCAAAGTACTGTAGGGTTTCGTGATATAATGTTGTCTAGCACTCAGGATGGATGGAAACTCTAAGGTGGTTTTCTTGTATAATATAAGTTATATGATAGACAGTCTGGTGCTGGAGATGCCGTGTGGTGAGGAGCTGCTCAGTAGGCACGTTCGGTGAGTAGCTTGTTGAAGGAGGTAGATGTGCAGGAGCTTCGTTAGAGAAGATGTTGCCTGTTGCTGGCCTCCAGGTTGAATGAGAATGGGACAGCGAGGAGCTTGCTTGGAGGAGGTGTTGCGTGTTCAGGAACCGAGAGCAGAATGAATCTCAATGGAGAGACAGAGCTTATATACACAGCAGCCGTGAGTCATGGTGGGAAACCCCGGGAAGTAGCCGGTCTTTTGGCTCCGTTGCTAGGATACTGTGGCATCTGGTGACGCCCCCCCCCTGGGCCGCTCGTTTGGTTGCTAGGGAAGACGTAGCAGGTGGCATGCAGCTACGCAGTTGTAGGGGAGACGTCCACTACAGTACTCTTGCCTCCTCCCCCTTATATTTTTGTATGTAAAATCTACATCACACCATACAGTAGTTATAAGCAAAATCAATTGTAAAATCATTAAAAGAGATAAATGTTAACACACCATAACTGAAGATGAGGGAGGAGTGGTGGCTGGTAGTGTTGTGAAAGATACGGTAATGTGAGAGTCGGTATGGAATCCATGACGAGTACAAGACAAGTAAGGAGAGAGATATAATGATAGAAAACGATAGGGGTGACTGCTATACTTTGGTTTTGCACGGATGTGTGGAAGATTCAAACGGAGAGAGTGTTACTCCTGAATGAGTTTCATTATATTCTTTTTGAGCCAAAAATAGCAAATTTTGGCAGATGGCTTCACGCCTCTCCTGCACCCACCTCACGCCCCCCAGTTTGGACACCACTCCTTTCGATGGATTGTAGACTTTAGGTGTACACTACAGTACTGTATATTTTTGTGTATCATTGAATTAACTTATGAAATATATCTTGAGGGATAAGTAATCACACATTCATAAACCATAAACTGGTAGGGTAGGCAACTCACAAGGGTAGTGCTTATCTCTTAGTGTTAGGGCATTCCATGTTCATAAGAGGTGCTTTGGGTGAGAAGTAGAAAAGTGATAAGAAAAAGCCAGAACAAGCAGTTGAAAGATTAGATTGAAGATTAAAATGGTACAATAAACACATCCCGGGCTCCTGTGTCTGATTCACCTATGAAAAATCTATTCAGGCTTAGTAAAATGTTTGTTTATACATTTTCACATACAGTTCTGTTTGATTCAGTATTTTTTTATGTTCGCTGTGCTGATACTTTGTATGCTTAATTGTGTTTTGTCTTGGGTAGCAGTTTGATACTGAAAGGAATCCAAATCAGGTTTGAGTTGGAAAATGCTTTAGAAATTTATTGCATAAATGTCACCACCTACATTTTCTTTGTGTTGTCTGGATCACATGAAGACTAGACCCCCAGTTTATATCACCTTCAAATTAACCACCTTAACATAAACCTAATCTAATCTAACTCCCAACAGGTAATGTTAGGGTGTTTAATCATTCAAGACCAGACTTGACCAACACTGGAGTAGGTTCAGATACTTTCAAGAGCCGGTGCATGCCCAGTACTTGCCAACAGTGTGTCACAGAGACGTGACCGATCGCCCAAGCGGCTAACGAGCCGATCAGTGGTGAAGAGGATAGAAGTAAAAAAATTAAAAATAAATAAGCCTGGGGTGTAGGTATATTGAACATTTAGATGTGGATAGAATGGATGGACACAAAATGATAAAGACGATTACAAAAGAGAAATCAAAAGAAAAGAGGGTTGCCACCAGTATAAAGGCGTGTAGGCTATAGACCTCTGTAGGGATGATATTGCTGGGGGATATACAGTACAGTATTGGCTAACTTGGTGGATAGTTGGGAATGATAAAGTGGAAATAGATATACAGATGAAATTGAGGAATATTTCGTCTGTGTAGGGTGAAATAACTGGGGTAATTAATCTCCAGGTGATCCATTTTCACGAACCTTTTTTCTGTTATCTACAATAATGAGCCAGAGACAGTACATGTACAGTCGCCGAAAAAAGTCCTGTAGCGAACCATGAACCCCGAGATTCAGACTCTTGAATTCGAAGCATTTATGGACAGAATAATGTATCAGTGTTTACTGCTTCGGGTTCACGAGTCTGAATCTCGGGGTTCATGGTTCGCTACAGGACTTTTTTCGGCGACTACAGTATATGGGTAGGAATATTCTTCTGTAAGTATTTAATTATTTCCAATGTGCAAAAGTGTCTGCCTTTTAAACGTTTTTTGACAGTGCAGTGAAGTTGAAGATGAAATCAGCGGCTTTGCGTATCCCATAATGAAATAAAAAACACTATCAAGAGTATTTACCCTTACTGTGCACTGTGCAGTATTATTGATAAGAAAAATAATTGATTAAATAAATTAGATTATTTTGCATGGTCCTTAAAGTCTAAAAAATATCAAATTGTTTTAAAGTATCTTGAACACAAACTTCCAATTTGCTTGTTAGTTAATACTGGTTTGGAGCGGAGTTGTGTACTTGACATCACACATGGAACAGGTGAGCCCCGACAGTCACAGGTGTGGTCGGCGGCGTAACTTTTGGGTTAATATTCGTCCATTGGCTGTCCGCAGGTTTCCAATTTTCAATATCAGACACAAAGACTATAAAAACAAACAGACATACAGCCTCATCATTTCTGGTGCAAATCAATATTAACGGAGTATCTCACAAATTTCTAAGCGTAAATTTCTGTACCTGCCATGTTGCAAGAGTCACTTCTCTCCTCCTCTTTGCGACAGGACAACCAATGACCTTCAAGTACCATGTCATGTGACTTGGCTGGCTAATAATTTTGAAGCAGCCATTTAGAAGGCTCGTGATGGCGTGCGAAAAGTGGTGCTCTCTCCCTTACTTAGCTGTTATTCACCGAGTTTATCAGAACAATAGTGAAGCAATCCAAATATTACAATATAACGGTGACCTACCATCATCAAGACTTGTGTCCGTGTGGAAATTGGTTGTTTTTAAGAAAAGACAGAAATCCTTTTGTCTGTAACCTTAAGAGTACCAGATCGCCCAGCTGTACCCTCCACCACAGCACCAGATCGCCCAGCTGTACCCTCCACCACAGTACCAGATCGCCCAGCTGTACCCTCCACCACAGTAGCAGATCGTACCTCCACCACAGTTCGCCCAGCTGTACCTCCACCACAATAGATGCCCAGTTAGGTCGCCCAGCTACCACAGCACCAGATCGCCCAGCTGTAGGTTACCACAGGATCGCCCAGCTACCACAGTACCAGATCGCCCAGCTGTTTGTGTTTAGATCGGTGTTTTACTCAAACCTGACCGCCATTTTGGTACAAATTAGCGGTTTCTGTTATAAATGAAAATGTCCATAAAAAAACAACAACCCGCTAATTTGCTCAAGAAATAAAGGTCAGATGTGAGTAAAACACCATAATAAAAAAAAAAATCCTATTTTTGTATCAAAACCTGAGGATAGTTAGTGGACCAATAGTTACCTGCTACTTTATAAGAATATAATCACCGTCCCAGCAAGTCATCCACATAAAAGCAAAGACTATAAGAAAGAC